ATGGCGGCGGCGCGGGGCGGCGGTGCCGGGGCGGTGCCGGAGAGCCCAGCGCCGCCGGGGCTGCGCCCTGCCCCGCCAGGGAGCGCGGCATCTCCTTCGCGTGTGTCACCCTGTCCCGGGGCATCTCCACGTCCTGGGAAGATGCATTCTTTTGGGAACGAAGAAGCGGACTCTCTGGAGCGTCTCTTCGGGTTTTTCTGTGAGTGCGTACGGCGTGGGCACTGGGAGCTTGCACAGGCCTGCGTGCCCCAGCTGAGCCAGTGGCACGGGGACGGCCCCGGGAAGGTGGAGGCAATTCTTCGGGCTCTGGTAGCTTGTCCCGTGGGGGTAAGGTAAGTAAGCTACTGCTCTGGTTCTGTAGACTTGAATGTGCAGTGGGGAGGAGCAATTAGCTTAGTGTCGGCTGTGGGAAATAGGTAGAATCAGGGAGGTAGCACTTCAGTGCTGAGGTGTCTTGTGATGCTGTTGTTTGAACTTTGATGTCTTATCACTGACCAAGAGCGTAGCAGGCTGCCCATCCCACCGGGAAAACGAGTTGTGTTCATGGTGATTGATACAAGCCTAAAACTACTTGGAAGCATTTCAGAACTGATTTGGTTAGATTTTAGTGAAGGAAAAGGACCATCTCTTGAAATTACGTTTCTTTGACACTGAGATTCAGTTAATTTAGAAATGGAACTACCAAGATCAGCAGTGTAATTATTTAAAATGTTATCTTGTTTCCAACTCTTGAAGAATCTCTTAATTTCTAAAATTGCAATCTAAAAAGTTTAAATTATGCTGTTGATTTCTTGATTCTCTCTCACAGTATTTTGGAATGGCATCCGTTTTACTTAATCCCAGCTACTTTTTATCTCCTTTTATTTTTCAGTTAGGCGTATATGAAGGGTGACTTTCTAGCACTTCAGGGAACATTTGTATTCCCCCTGTCTAATCAGATGATCGTAATTGTTCACATTAAAGTTCGTGTAACATTTCAGTAAAGGTGCTAAGAAAAAATTTACACTGACAGCAGCTGAAGGAGTCTGGAGGAAGGTGTGGTCATAGCTAGATGAATATTGCTAACAGGCATGTGAGACATAAGAATTTTCAATATTTTGATCTTTATTACCTGGGCTATCACATTTAAAGGCTTTAGTTAGCAGTGCTGAGATTTTTGAAGGACAGGAAACTATATTGTGCTTTCTCATTTTCCTATTCCCTCTGACAGTACTGAACATGTTCCTAACTGTGTAGGCTTTGGGATGTTGAAGTACTGGAGCACCTGAAATGCTAATGGAAATTAGAAGGATTCTTTATTTAATTAGTCATTGCTTCTCTTTTAATTTGGATATAGAGCTGCATTTGGGCTGCTATGACCTAAAACTTAGTTTCATTTTTTTTGGTAAAAATAGGCAGAACAGGAAATAGCAATGTTTAGCAAGTGGTCACATTTCAACGAAATCTGCTGAAGTGCTCAAAGAGGGCTATACAGACTGAACTTTGGACCAGAACTAGATTTCTTTGTTTTGAGGAACTGTGCCAGGAGTGTGTGGCCAGTCTAAAAGCAGTTATTTGCACAGCATAAATAACTGAATTGATGTGCAAAACACCAATATTCTGGTTTCTTTGCATTTTTTTCCTTTGGCTACTTACTTGTCTATCTTACTCGAAGAAATACAAAATCAAAATGATCTCTGACAGTGTTTTCCTGGATCTTGGCAATGGAGACAATCTTGTATAATCCACTGTATATGCTTCTTGCTTTTGTAGACGGGGACAGAATTCTAGCCCAGGGAGATCTGCATGGCTTTGGCTTCTTGTGCTGGAAAAATGGCTTGCCAGAAATCAGGTACAGAAACATCCTGATGACTTCCAAATGCACTTTATAACTCTGACTTCCAAGTGCAGAATGTCTCCCCTAGTTGCTTATTTAATTGTAGGTTTTGCCACGTTTCATGGAATTAAGTTCTCAGGGTATCTCGAGACATGTACTGATTTTGCATTTAACAAATTTATCACAAAAGAACTGTAATATTCACACTGAAGAGAAAAACTAGGGTTTTTTTTTAAGATATTAGAAGTTAACATTTTAGCTTTTCACATTCATACACAGGAAAATCATGAGTGTATCAACTTCTGCATTTGTGTAGTACCTCTCTTACATTTAAGATTAAATAGCTCAGGCGTCAGACAATTCTTTATAAGCTTTAGATGGTGAGGGATGTGCATACTTCTTTTTAAAAGTCATTTGTCCTTGGCACTAATTAGGCTTGTGTTTTTTCTTTTTATTCTGAGGAATCAATGGTTTTGTGATTCTTGACAAGATCTCTGTTTACAAATGTATGGATAAATAAAATCAATTGGTGTGAGAGCAAAACCTGACTGGAACAGCCTTTAATTGAGTATTCAAAGAGATATTTCAGTCTGCCTCAAAGTGTCAATGAAATAGCTATGATTATGTTTATATGCTAATGTAAAGAAAAGTTTTATTGACTAAGGTATTTCCCATTCTTGTATGGTTTCAGGAAACTGTTCCCGTTGCTCTTCAGAGAGAAACTGAATTTTTGTTGTTCCTGGAAGAATTACAGAAAGATGTCTCTGAGGAAGTCCTAAAGGTGAGCTACTTCTATGCTCTATTTCTTCTTTTTCTGCAGCATGCCCAGCTTCATCAGATCGAAGTTAATGCTTCCTGCTAACTGCCTGAGATGTTAATGTGTTATTAATCTTCTAGGCAACTGAGAGAGTGTAATTCAGATCCCTTTGTGAAGTTAATCCAATGTGCCTGCAAGTGATTTCTCTGGCTAGAGTGGAGGCTGCAGGCAGGCCAGGAACAGGTTTTTCTACGTGCCGTTTTTAACACACATCAGTCCTGACTGCAGCTGCTTGCCACAGTCTTCAATCCATAGACACATTTAATAATCATAAACCTACAACCCACTGTGAGCCAAAATAAACTATAGTCAGTAAGCACATTTTAAAAGTATTCTTTTTCTTTCTTCAGAGAACTTAATTTTCATCTCCTATGCACCCCTTTTCCCCCTTTCTGGAAGTTTTTGGATGCTCTACTATTACCGGTGACATTGCCTAGAGATTGGTATGATGTCTGTTCTGAGGTTCAGGATCCATTTTCCATTATTAATTAAAAAATGCAGGCTGATTTATTTGAGAAGTATGTGGAAATATGCAAAGATGGATTTATATCAAAAGCAAGTATAAAGCAGAATATCAGGAAAGTTACTAACTGTAGAGCTATCCTAATTTGATGTTACTTACAGCAGGTTCAGGTCTGACATGGTGTGTGAAATGTCCTAAGATGTTGCTTCTGGTCCTATAGATTCTAACTCCTTAAAGATGCCCTTTTTGGTTTGTCTGTTTTTTAAGAGGAAAATGGAAACTTACTATATTCAGGGCTATTTCAGCTTAGGAAAAGCTGCTCAGTATTTCACTAAGGATACAGAATTAGCAATTACAGGATGAAAACAAGCAAGGTGAACTTGAATGTTGATTAAAATAAATCTGCTTGAAGTCTGTTAATGAATAATGAAGTCTATGAATGTTACTGTCTCACCTCCAAGGTCATGAATGGTTCTACCATTGTCCACACTGTCCACTAGTGTTGCACAGAAATATGAGATTCAACAGTCTCATATCTTTGTCACAATTTCTGTCAGAGGCATGTTGGTAGGTAGAGTTACATTTTGATCCAGCAAATAATATTTTTTAAAAAGGGTATTGCAGACTTTGTTTCTGTTCTCATTCTTTGTGCACACCAACCACCTCTCCTCTATGTAATCTCTGAGGTGTCTCTTTGAGCCGAGGGCAGCATTCACATAATTCCAGGAGTGCCAGAAGTGCTGCTTGAGTGCTGTTCAACTGGCTTGTCCCTCACCTTCTCAACTCTTATTGGGTGGGCTAATTGGGACTTTTTGTTTGTTTATTTTCCCCTTCCCAGTTTTGAAATTGTAGGTTTGCTTCTGATAGGTAGAAAATTATTGCTGCTTAAGTAAAGTCTGTGAGATAGCTTGTGAATCTGTTGACCTGTTTTAATCAGATTTGAAAAATTGATGAGGATGATATAGTAGATAGATGGTAAAAATCTGGAAAAGTAGGATGAAAAGAACCCCACTAATCATTATGCTCTTAGTGACCTATGAAGATGCAATTACATTAGGATATTGCTTAGAGGTGGGATATGGTGGTGCTTCAGCCATCCCATAGGGACTGCTACGGTTCCTTGCTTGTACATGGTCCTTATAGTGTACTTGTGTTTTACAGGATTCTTTGTATTTTGTTACTTATTCAGGCACATTCACTCTTCTAGGAAAGATATTGGACGAGGTGGACCATTATTAATGGATTTCTTAGGTAGTGTGGTGTTTCCAAATAGATTTATCTGTTTGCTTTCAAGTTTCATCTATTTTTTTAAATAATTCATTTCATATATTAAGGTAGTCTAAAAGGCTTACTCTTTTATTATTTCCTTCCCAGGAACTGTTTGAAGCATTTGAGTGCACGCAGAACAAGCACATCACAGACAGCCAAAGAAGAGATGACTGTTCTCACAAATTCAGTTTGGATGTTGTTTCAGCTCTCCGGAAGCTTTTGCTGCGGGCTCCCCAGAGGGCAAAAGCCCTGCTGGAGTTCTTCCAGGGGGAACAAGGCCCACACAGCTCCTCACTCCTGCAATATCGCTCTCTACAAAACATCTTTGTTGAGTTTCTTTGTGACTCCTTGAAATCTCTGCAGAGGCTTCAGAGCAGTCCTGAGCTTTCGGCTGAACTAAATCAAAGAGAACTAGTAGATACAATTTATGCTGCTCTCAGTATAGTGACTTTTGAGGTGGAGCATCAAGCAGATGAAATGAAGCAGTTATTCAGGGAGCTCTTGGATGTATGCTGGGCTGAGGGGAGCCCACTGAGGGAAGAGAAGCTACTAAACTGTATGCTGAGGAAACAAAGCCATGGCCTGCTAAGCCTCTATAGCAGTGTTCTCACAGAAAGAACAAGAGAAAAGTTTTTGTTGTCAAAAGCAATACAAAAAGGTTTGTTTCACTTTTTGCTTGGTATTAGTCTCCTGTTTAACAAAACCGTTAAGGCAATAAACAGACAAGTAGTCAAGAAGTCAGGCAGTATTCTTGCTAAGGTGCTTTAACAAACCATGGAGTCTTTCAAAAGACAATGCTAAAATGATCCTTAAAACAACTAATTGGCATAGGAACACTGGCTCACTCCTCTACATTTTTGCAGTCTATGCTGTGTTTTGTGATCACTTCCTTTACCACCCTTGCTGTGTTCTATTTTAATCTGCTCTGCATTTCTCTTGATGAAAATCTTGCTTGTAACTAGAAATTTCATACTTGATATATTTGTACAGTTTTTATTTGTTCACCTCCAACTCAGGGTCGTCTGTGTTGGAGTATGTTCCATTTCTGGCCAGTAACAGTTCGATCACCTCAGGAATCCAAACATAATAGCAATTATGCTTCTCTCAAAGGCCCCCCTCTCTACTGGAAGATAACCTTGTTGTGATGTTTTCAGGTTCATCTGCATCTGAGCAGCTGGATACAGAGCGAACTGTGATGAGTTTGTTCTCAGATCCCAAAGAAGCTCCTTCGTGGAAGACAGCCTATTTCTACTGCTTGAGCAGCAGCAAGCACTTTCTGGAACAGATTCTGGTACAGCCATAAAGTCACTAACAGGGAAACCCAACGGAGGCTAAAGTCAGTCCCCGTGTTGAATGTATCTTGGTGGTGCACAGAAGCATTTTGTATTCAAATAGGGTTTGCCAGGGGTGATGACTAACAGGAACAAGGAGGTAACGGTGATAACCCTGCTACTTGCAGCAGTGCAATGAACATAAAACTGCTGGTGAGATTTTTAGAAAAGCTCATCTCCATGCAGACTGAAGATTAAATCTTCAGGGTTTAAGAAGTCTCATTTTCTGCTTGTAGTTTTGTTGGAGGCACCGTTTACCTCATGACCTTGAACTTGTTGCTTTCTGATGCCAGTAGACTTGGGGCAATGAGACAGGTTTGCATGGTAAAATTTATGGTGAAAATAGTCTGTTATGAATTAATTGATTTTTATGTATTTACATAGAAGAAATAGAATACAGGCAGGTGGTCACTGTTAAAGTGTGGTTTTAAGATTGAACATATTTCAACTCTTGCGTAATGTGCTTGCAGAGGTCTTTTACATGTTGCCTTTGGCAGAGACATAATCAATAGAAGGAATGCAAAGGTAATGTAGAGTGGAATTTAAGTTGACTCTGTAATAAGCATTTGAAATGGTGTTTTTTTCCTAAAGACATCTTTACTGATGAGTATACTGATGGCTTGGACAATATAAGTTTAGGGAAGTTCTGGGTGCAGAACGTCACTATTTTATTGAAGCTAATATTGAAATACTACTACTTGCTTACATAGTCTACCAAGCACTATGGGTCTCCACATTTTGGAAAAATGAATACTTCTTCCTTTTATTTTCTAGGTGACTGCATTAGCTTTACTAAAAAGAGAAGACTACTTGGGCCTGAAGAGCTTGTTGAGGAGAGAATTCAACCCCCTTAGTCGCCTCTTGGTGTTGTTAGGATGGACTCATTGCCAAAGCTTGGAGTCAGCAAAAGCTTTGCTATGGAGTCTACACAAAACTCAGGTAAATCAACAGAAAGCAAGTGGCAGTGTCCCAGTCTGAGTCCAGATAATGCAGTTCGTTTGTAAAAACAAGTGAAACCGGGGAGTTTTCAGTGAGAAGGTCAATCTTCCTCAAAATGGAATAAAAAAAGTTAAGGTATTACAGTCGTACGTAGGTAACATTATGGGACACTTGCCTTGCTTCCTATTCCTTGGCTGTGAAGGGAGTATGACTGAGAAGGAAACTCTGAAAGTTTCTCTTGCATAATCTCATGAACAACCTCTGCTGTTAACATCAGAGAAAAGACAGCAATGGTTGTTGATTAGTTTTGAAAGAGCTGGGGCATCTTTCTTTCATGTAATTTCCTCCAGTGAGTCATCCCTGGGTAGTGGCTAATTCAGGCCTGAGTTCAACAACCATGTAGCTTGAAAATTCCCCATACTTGTTCTCAAAGTGAAATGATAAATGACAAGAGCTGTGAGCGAAAGATCCACCTTGTTTGGGGACAGTCTTCATCTGTGGAAAAGTGACAGGATTCCAGCTCTGAAGGTGTAGTTGCACTTCAGATGATGCCTGTTGGCTGGCTTAGATGTCAGAGGTGGAGAGACGAACCTTTTACTGCTGGGTCGTAGTGTAGACCTAAACTGGCAATGCCTTAAGGGAGTTACTATCTGTTGGTAATACACCAAAAGTCTATTCAGTAGCTTCTGCAAAGTTAAACTCTTAGATCTGATTTTAGCAGGGAGTCATCTGTAGTAGAAGAGCATGTGGGACAGGAGAATAACCATCTGCTACCCAGTATGTCATCTTTTGAATACGTGATTAGTTCTAGAGATTAGCCTTAGACTGTTACTAGGAAGCATTAATTTGCATTTTATAAGCTACTCTTGAAAGGGGATTTAGCCAACTTTCCATGGTCTGTAGATGTGTCAGGTGGAGGCTGACTGATTTTTATGTTCTGTTAGAATAGCCCTCCTTTGCTGTCTTTGTAATAAATCTGACAATTTTCTGTATTTGAAATTTATTATCCAGATAGGGAAGTCTTGCAAACATGCATGTGTGACACAGGCTTGGTTCTGCTGGCTGGCTGGAGACTTTGTTGTAATGAGATTGTTTTATTTATCTTTCCATTTAGGATCTGTGCAATGATTCAGTATTGAAAGATTTTTGTGATGGGCTGTGGGCTCATGTGGAAGTACTTGAATGGTGCATGCAGCAAAACAGGTAAAATGAGCAGAAGGACTTTTTTTCCAAAATATGTTGCCAAATCTACCTGTTAAGTCAGCTTATGTATGCAAATAGAGAAGGCATTTTCTTGGCTAATCATCTAATAGTGACTCTATATACAAGCTCTTGAAGTTCCTCATAGGCTACAGTTATGCTCTTTGTTTGGTAGTAGTTTGGTTCAGTCAGAATCCGAGTGGGTGTTAGATCTTTAAACATGGCTGAGGTTTAAATCTGTGCCACCTCTTTGTTCTCTCTTGCAGTATTACTGTCCCAAGGAAGGTTCTGTTGCAACACTTGCACAGTCTGGATTGCCACACTGCAGTGTATTCTCTGCATCTGTTGAGTATATATGTTCAGTACTTCTGCCAGGATTTGTTCTCTTGACCTGCTTCTGTAATTGTGTAAGATACCAGTTACCAGCTGTTTTGTGGAAGAAATCTAGGGAGCATGTGGAAATTATTTTAGAAACCTTTTGGGGAGTAAATTGTCTTTCAAGAAGGAGTTGTGAGATCTCTTTGATCTCACAAGGACAGATCTCTGAAAGAGCTTTTTTAAGATGGTAACAAGACTTTGCACATGCTTGTGATATATGCTGCTCATTGTAACTTCTGTACTATGTAGTACCTTTCATTTGAAAAGGAAGTGTATGGTTTGTAATTCAGTGCACTTTAGTTGAAAATCAAAGAGCAAAACCAGATGAAACTGACAGTATCTTGCACTACAGCATCTTCATTTTTGAAAGAGATAAAAAGTGGGGTTTTTTTCTATTGTAATATTAACTGTTACCAAATTTAAATTTAGTATTTAAATCAGTAAGACTCAGCTACAGCCTGTGTTTACATCACTCTTGCCTCACTTCTCTCATCTTCACATGTTCCAGCTGGGTGCCTAAAATACCTGCAACTACTAAGCATATCAGATCACTTAAAAGTGACTCTTTGGACACTCTTTTGATTGCAGCCTGTGTCCAGGTTCAGCTCTGCAATTTCAAAGCTGTTTTCTGATAGGGCCTCTTAATAATGACACAGAAGCTCTGTTTTCCTGCGTGTACTAGAACCTAAAAAGCCACAATATTTTTTTTTCTAAGTAGTTCTTTCATGTTGGTGAATTTGGATGTGTAATTTCAACCTGAGTTGCTTGGAGAGCTCTCAGTAATGGATCTTGCACAGGTTTTTCCAGATAACCTAGTGAGAAGCAAATTTCTTTTCTTCTATATCACGCTGTTGTGATGCTTGTTTCTATTCCTACTTCTTACAGGTTTTGATGTTAAAATTGTCATTGTCAAGACACTTGTCTTGAATAATCTTCAAGATATAGGAATTGAGTCTACAATTCCTCTATATAGACTCTGTATAGATCCTTATTTTCCTGCTTTCTGAAATTGTTTTGTTGTTGCTGGTGTTACAGGGTTTTTTAATCAGTTGTTACATTTTAATTATTTTCTGCTTAAATTCTGTCAAAGCCTTTCAAAAACAGGAAGAGGCAGTCCCATCATATCTTCTGGGAGCTGCATGACTTGCAAAAGAACTCTAGCTGTGGTTTCTCTTTTTTTTTTTCATGCCACATTAATTAATGGAAAACAAGTTCTCCTTCTCTTTTCAATCCAGCAGTTATTGCAGAATTAGATGATTCTATAAGCACATCTTAATAGGATTTCCTTTAAAATAATCTATTTTGAGCTTTAAAGGGAAGAGAGGAGCCATAAACTTTTGTCAGATGTAGTAGTGTTAACAGGCCTTTTCCTCCATCACCCCACATGCTTCCCCCATCTTCCCCTTCTTTTTAGTACAGATCTGTCAGCTGCAGTAGTGAAACCAGAGTAGTGGTACTGGTAAACAGTTGAGTTCAGGCTGTGCATAACTGGTTTTGATCAGTCATGGTAAGCAACAATTTCCTCATGAGTTCCAGTATTCAAGAAGAAGGTGTTAGTATTTCTGGCATAGGAAAAACTATACTCTTTGTTAAAGGATTGTTTTTCAGTATTTGTACAAGGAAAAGGATTGATTTAGGTACGAGTACCAACACAGACTCACTGCATCCAAGTTTTTCCAACAAAAGTGAAAAGTGTATTAAACTTACTTTTGATCACCAGTATCTGTCTTACAGGACCGACAGCTAGCTCTTTCTCTTTTCTGGAGGATTGTGCTTATCAAATCTCTGGCTTTACCTGCCTGAAGTCCTCTTAAGACAGTGTAATGAGAGCTATTTGGGTGTTACATATTAGTGTAGAGCTTCTGGGCAACAGTGTAATTTCAATGGCCATGTGAGTTCTGCAAATGATTCATACTTGGATGTCTCCTCAGTTCTGGCTGCTGTCTACATTATATTTTCCATCACTATCACTGTTTAGAATGGCAGTGATAGGGAGTAGCTGTTTCTAACTGTTTCTGCTCCCAGTTGTTTTGCTTTGGCTGCTCTGTAGTTTTCAAAAGAGTTCAGAGTAGTGCTTTCTTTACAATTGCGCTCAAACTTTGTGGAGGATGGTGCTGAAACAGTTCTTAGGTTAGGTAATTCTGTTCAGTTCTTGAATTTGGATGTGGACATTGTCAGTACATTGTAACAGTGCTTTATTAAAAATAATAATTTGGCTGATGCTTTTCCTGCATGACAACAGGTAGAGGGACAATCTATCACTTGTATAAGAATACAGGACAGTGGATTCCAAGCACTGATTCAACATTGCGTGTGGTTGTCAGGGATTCTTTTTTCTTTCTTTGTTGTGGGGTTCTTTTAACCTTTTTACAGTAGATGGATAATTCATCTAAACTCACCATAGCAGAATATATGACACTATATTGTGTTCCTGGGTGAAGGGCATGATGATGTGATTTTTACAATTTGCAGCTCTCCTGTTCTGTTGTACTAAGAAGGGATCATGTCTCTGGCATGTGATATCTTTCCTCAAAAAAAACCCAAAGAGGAAGAGAAGTGGGTACACTACTTCTCTAGTTTTCCTTTATCAAAAATGTGTGAAGGAAACTGTGGGACTGTACTTCTTCTTTAATCAGTTGCAGATTGTATTTGATCTGTTGTGTCAGCCACTGTGAATCAACCATGCTATCTATTTATTTGTACAAATCTGAAGAGGTGGTGGTACTCTATTCTTACTACAGTCATAGCACAGACATAGTCTACACTGTTTCCCTACTCATCTACTGTGTACTAGAACACAGAATTCTAAGATGCTGAAATGAAACAGGATTTGCCCCTCTGTTGTAAATGCAGCAGTATAGCTTAACCACACACTGCTAGTGAGACTCATTGTGAGAGATTTTGGTCATTCTGTGCTGCAGAGGGTCCTGTTACACAGGTTCACAGAAAATTTCCTCTTTAGAAGGGGATCCAGACCTGACTTTTCTGTCCCCATCTATTGTGGGTTGGGTTGTTTGGGCTTTTTTTCCAAAAGTAGCAGTGAGATCAAAGCTGAGACAGAAACAGCACTGGGGAGGTAAGACTGGATAAATATTGCTGTGCAGAAACTGCAGGAGAAAATTAACTTGTTTTCTTTTTTACCTCCTACACCCTCACCACCCTGATTTCCCTCCACAGCAGCCCCACTCCCTAACACCCTGAGTCAGCAGCGTGACCTCGCACTCTTCCGAGCGTTCTGTGCCATGAAGTATGCAATCTATGCTCTGTGTGTGAATTCACACAGGCATGCCAAGTGCAAGGATTGTGTACACAGCCTTCTTGGTGATATCCCTGAGGATGCAGCTTTTGGAGAACCAGCAGGTGATTTGCCTCCTTTTTCAGGTCCAGTGATGGGTGCTTCTCCATCCAGTTGCTGGGCTCTAAATTATCACTTAAAATTGGGATAATGTTGCACCCTGTGTACATAGGGTATTTTATTCAGTGGGCTATGAATGCTTTGCAAGGAAGTATAATGGTATTTCTTTGAGGTGTTGTTATCTTTAGTAGTAATAGGTATGAATTGGGCTTGTTTTAAAACATATAAGGTAATTGTACAAAAAAATAGTGCTAAAAGGAAGTGATACTAGATATAGGATCACAGCAGGAGATAACTTTGTAACAGTTTGATTTCCCAGATCTGAAACTGATTTGATGTCTAGAATGGGTGTAATCTGAATTTGCACATCATTGAACAAAATGATGATTGGCATTGCTCAGAGGGTGGAAGCACACTACCTTTCTAAATATAAAATGTTGGACATATATTTACTTGGTTTTTGGAGGAATGATGGGGTCTGAGCCACTGGGCTAGTTCCCTGGGATCCTTCTGGGATTTTCTTAGAAGGCACAAGTTGGAGCAAGGAATCCCCAAAAAAATGTAATAAACGTTCTTTATTTTTGTTTTTAATTGTACAGATTGCTCTTCAGTATTTCCTCAGTACATTGTGAAGTGTCAGCAGTTCTTAAGGAGTGTTCCCATTCCTCTGCGCCTGGAGGTTTTGGAGAATATTTTCTCCTTGCTTTTTGTTTCCTATAATGACCTCTATACTGAGACTCCTCTACCTGAGGACTATGCAGAGGATGAAGACCTTGACAAAAAGAGCACTACTCTGACTGTAGAAGGCAGTGCCAGTCGGCGATCTTCCACCTCACAAAGTCCACAACACCTAACAGAGGCAGAAAAAAAATCAGAGAAGCACTTGCTGGCTGCACAAACAGTTCACACAGATACTCGAGATCTTTGTGACTCCATGTTAGATGGCAAGAGCTGTGAAACGTCTAAGCCAACCCACCTGGATCTGAAACACTTCACCAGTGGTGTTACTGGATTTTTAGTGGATGATGTAGCCATGGAGGCCTTCCTCACGTTGCTGCTCAACCACCTGGAAGAAATTCAGAGTTCTCTCCCGTGGGACTCCAGTAATGTGCTTCGTGAAGAGCTGGAGCTTGTTGAGTGCTTGAATCTTTCTGCGAGCGGAGATGCCTTTGGAAGTCGCGTGTTACAGTTTTCCAAGTACCTCTCTGAAGCTCACTGGCGATACAAGGTGGTGATGAGTAACAGAAATGCAGGTAGGCTTTGTGTTTGGCACTTTCTGATCTCTTACAGCTGTCCAGACAGTGATCTCAAGACTAAATTCCATGAGCATCTTACTGAGAGAGCACATTTTGGCAGATACTGGGAGAGTGACCTACTTGGAGAGCACCTGGTTCTTGCACCATTTTCCGATGGAAGTGATCTCTATTCTAATCAGAAAGTTTGGGTCTTTTTTGCCTCCCCTTTGTGGATGTACTGCTTCTCTTTGCCTTTGTCACAAGTCACACTGCAGTGATATGAAAGGACATGGTGGTGTTGGATCCAGTGCAAGTCAAATAGTCTCAGCTTGTTCATGGACAGTGTTGATTTAGCCTAGTCTGGAAACATGTTAGGAACACATATCAGAGGAAGCTGTATTATTGTGGATGATTGTTGAAGTAGCTGGAACAACACACTCAGGAGCCTGTTTCCCATCCTTCTCCATAGCCTGTAACTTGTAAGCCCTGCTGCTATGAGATTTTGTCTTGTATCATGTGTAGCTTATTGTGTATCTCATACCATGTAAACTCCATGTCCCAAGAGAGACTTTGCAGTCTGGACCTTAAATATTGCAAGTTCCCAAACTTGTGCTTAACTGTTTGTCAGGTCTCCCTCTATAAAGCTGTTTGGTAATGTTTTGGTTTAAATATTTCACAGAACATCAGCTTGCAGCCTCCAGGAGACATTGCTCTTTAATCAGGCGCTCCAGCTTTAAGAAACGAAGTAGATATCGGAGGTACAAGTCAGGTGGGTTGAAAAAGTGACTTGGAGAGGACACTTCTGAAATACACATAATTTTGCTGAGCTCATAGCTGAATGCAATCAGATTTCATGGTCTAGGAGCAGAGAACTAGATTTATTTCCTTTAGTTTTCTAAGTGGTTTGAAGTGTCGTAAGCCAGTTCCTCTTGCATTGAGTTTGTTTTCTAAAGCTCACCTGCACAAATAACTTCTTCCATACATAGTCTGATTTGGGGCAGGGGAGAACTTCAACTACGGTACTAATTTTTCCCGTTCTCAGCTATGTCCTGACTGAGTGGTATATTTTCATTCCTGTTGCAGTATTTTCTAGCATGTGAATTAACAGGAATCTGTGTCTCAGGAGAAAGTTGTGTTCCTCACCTTTTTTCTATTTAGCCTTTGAAAGGCCTGTCTGGTTTTGAAGTGGCCTGTTCCACAAGAAGCTTTGAAGTATCTGATGAAGTGAAGTGATGTGAAGTGAGTCACTGATGGGCCACCCCAACATAGTCTCTAGCCTAGCATTTTCTTCAAATCCGCAGTTTTTGTGCTCTTCATAGATGTCAGTGGTGGGTCATTTACAAGATCTTGTAAACTCTTGAAGATCCCTTGAGGTTGCCTAATCTGTTATTTGCAGTAAGTTTTAATTACCTTGTCTAGTAAAAGTGCATTTAATGTGCTGATTTTGATTTGTTTCCATTTTAGATGGGAAAGAGGGAACTTCCAGTCCATCGTTGGAAAGCACAAGTAGCGAGCTAAGCACCAGTACTTCAGGTATTAAGCCACAAAAGTAGTATTTTTTGTCTTTTCAATGTGCATGATGAAGAATTTGCTTGACTAGTTAATGTGGATTACTGCTGTGTGCAGGACAGAATTATATCTTTTTGTTTCTCAGATCTCCCTTTTTTGGATGACTCTTTTCTGGTCAGAATAGCACATGTGTCTTCTTCTGGAAAAAGTGAATTAGATTTTTCTTGGTACCTTTGGCTTGCGGGAAACAGTATGCAAGCAATGTAGTGATCTGCAAACCATCAAAAAAGCTAATGAGCTGACAGTCATGTAAGCTAAGACGTGCTTAGGCATGCTGGACTGATCTAATAGGTCAGATGCTTTAGACTTCTCCCTTTAGCCATATTGAACCAGTTCCTAGCCCTGTGTGTGTGTTATGTAGCTGCTGAAGAGCGTTACATGGGGATGAGATCCAAACTGCAAATTCTGACCAAATAGTGAAATGTTATGAGAATTTTTAACAGGATGTTTTTGTTGACTTCTTTACCATAAAAATTGGTAAAGCAACTCTGCTTCTATATTTTCATGTTAAAGATGTGAAATGCTGTTATTTGGTGGGTGGCTGTTACTTGGTGAAATGTGTTTTCCCTAATAGTATACTGATTAATTCTGTCTTGCAGAGGGAAGTACCAGTAGTGTGTCTGGCTTGAGTGATTTAGAAAGCAGGACAAGACCACATCAGCAGAACTCCCTCATTCCTATGATGCTTTCCCCCCCAGAATCACTGTTAGTTTCTTGCGTTTTGAGAGGAAACTTTGTGGAAGCCCACCAGGTAAATAAGATTTATGTATTTTGATTTTTGAATGAAGTTCCTGCGTCTGCATTTAGCAAACATAAGGCTTCCAAGTGAAAGAATCACTTCAGAAGCAGAAGCAAAAGGGAGGAACAAAGATATTCCAAACCAACATCCCACAGATGCAGGGTTTTTTCTGCCTTGTTATGTGAAAATACTTTCTCTACACCTGTGTTCTCAAAGCATGCAAATGTTTGATGAGAGCTAGTCAAGCATAGTGTTTCAACTGACTGAGGAAGACAAAGTGCTCATGTGAAATTTCATTAGGAAGCAGCATCTGAACTGCTTTATTTAATCAGTTTTTCAAAACCATTACACTCTTCCACTTACAACGCCATGGCAGAAACTCACAAAGGTGTTCCTTACCCAAAGAAGTGATTACTTTCATTTGAAGGAGGTATGTTTTGAAACTAAATTTGTGGTATTGAAAACAGGCAGAAAGACTTGAAAATTGACAGTCTGCATGTTTGTGATTCTTTGCTCCCTCACAGGTGTGCATACTTCTCTCTGTGTGGTTTTTGAGCTGATGCTCTGAAAAAAAATCTTGAAGTGCATCAATGAGTGGATCTTCTGTAAAAGGCTGTGACCTGGCTGACTTTCAGATAACCATACCGGAGCAGTTCATATCACTTAAACATTGCATTAACATCAGCCAATTAGTTCTGTTTGATTTCAGGCATGACACTTGATCTTTTCCCTACTTATAGGGCCAAAGGAGCATTTGGTTTTGCATTATTGCCTTGATTTTCAGTATCACCAATGATAAAGCATTCAGGCTTTATGTTGTTGGTTTCATAGTAGGAACTTGCATAGCTCTGCTTAGCTACTCTGTGTTTAAATTTTGAGGAGGGATGCTTTGCTGAATAAGAATTTATTTGAAATAGTCTACTTTGGAGGCAACTTGATAGATATCTCTCATTACATAGTATATTGAAATTGTGAAGAGGCATTCCAAAAGGTGTGGGTTATGAAAATTAATTCAACCCTAGTCCTGCAGCAAATAATAGGTAAGCTTTGTAATAATCACTGAAAAACATCTCTGAGAGCCTTTTTTTTTTTTTTCAGACACTTTAAACTCTCTAGGAGAAAACCCTATCATTTCAGCCTGTTGTGTGTGGGGGGGGGATGTTTTTCAGTTAAAGTATTTATTGTATTCCTTTTTCTCCTCTAAAGCCCCTCCCACTAAGCTCTTTGGCTTTTGAAAACTTCGTTGACATGCTCTGTAATTACATCTGTTGTTACATTTGAAAGGTGGCTTTGATGTTTAATCTGGAGACTACCCCTTGCTATGGTGAATTGATTTTCATGGAGCGTTACCAAGAGGCAGTAGAAGAAATGGCAAGAGTGGAACACAATATTGAGAATCAATCATCAGATGGCACTGGAGGCATCAGGAAATCTGGCAGTGGCCGTTCAACACTGCAAGCTATTGGGAATGCAGCAGCAGCTGGTAAGGACTGGGCTTTTTGAGTTCTCACAAAAGGCTGGGGAGAAATGAAAAATATGAGAAAGCAGATTGAATAATGTCAAAATGAGTGTAGCGTTTGTTTAGAAGGGTAAGTGGTGGGGTTTTGAGTTAGAAATAGACTATGAATGCTGAAAATTTGCTGTTGATGCCCAGTTAGTTGCATCCATTCTACAGTAATTGATTGGTCCATGAAGCAGGCCACCTATGGAAATATTTTCTATAAGGATTAAAAAATAGTTACTCATTACAGGATCTGATCTAATTCTGCTGTTAACCAGTGATTGTGTGTTTTTGATGACACGTGTAGGTATGGTATTTTATTCCATCTCGGATGTTACTGATAAATTGCTTGCAACTTCTGGAAGTCTTGCCCCTACTCTTCAAGAAAACTTCTGGATCAGGAACATCCAGCTGGAGCATACTGATCCTCTGCGAGAAGTTCTTGAGGACCTCAGTCCTTCAGCAATGGCAGCATTTGACCTAGCTTGTACTCAGTGCCGTCTTTGGAAGACATGCAAACAGCTTCTGGAGACAGCAGAAAGAAGACTCTACAGCAGCCTTGAAACTCGGGGTAGGCTTTTGATTTTTATATTTATCCACATGGGCCTGGGAACAGAATATGCCTCTCTATGCATTTGTTGCATTTGTTGTTTGTGCTAATACCCAAGTCTTAATTAAATCTCACTTTGTACTTGCATGTTAGTTTCTCTTTTTTCCACTCCTAACTTTGATTTTGTCTCTTTTTGCAAAATGACTGTTCCAGGCCACCGAACTGACTTGGTTTTACTGCACTCTGATGGTGTAAAGGGTTTTCCAGCAGTTCTCCAGCAAATAAGTAAAATTCTCAACTATTCCTGCACATCACAAGGTCAATCCAGACCAGGTAGTATGCTTTGCTGATAAGGCTTTCTGTTGAAATGTGCTTAAATCAAAATCTTGTCTTCTGTTGCAATGTAAATTTGAACTTTCCATTTTTTAGCTTAGTATTTATGACAAAAAAGGCAAGGGGAACATGACCAGAGCCCAATTCTGAATAATCTGAAATGCTCTGATTTTTGTATTATAATATACTTCTGGTTTTGTGGGCCTTCTTCTATGCAAAAATACTTGTGTCTTTGTTATAGTTGCTGTTTCTTTCTCTCTCTTTGTAGAGGTTGCAGATGAGAAAATAGGGAGTCATTTTCGATGCAGTATTGTAGACCTTCTGCAAGCTTGCTACCCTACCTTGACTGAAGAAAGTATTACTAATGAAATAGTTTTATCACAAAACCTGGATCATATCCTGGAGGCACTGACTTGTGTTGAACGTTCTGTGGGTGAGTTATTTTTGTGAACATAAAGACTGATTGATATATGGATCTAAATTTTTTCTTTGGCCTTTCCAGACAGCAATAAATCCAGTAGTAATGCTCTTTGACATATGCATAAATACATATTTTAAAAAATATAAATGCAAAGGGTAAAATTTGTCTGTAATTTTTACATTTGTTTTCACAGCTAAGATTCTGAACTTGTCAGAGACAGTATTTATCTTTTTTCTATGCAGTCCTAGCAAAGAATTCTTTAAAGTGTATTTTAATGTGGCACCCTGTAGATAAATAGGTGTATTCTTACTCTTGCTTCTTTCTCTTTTTTTTTGTAACAAAGTGGAGATAAACTTACAAAACCTTTGTAATATCATAATACCTTCCAGTTTGCATAGGGCTGTCATAAAACATCTCATCTTTTCCACAGCTGTTTTTTCTTACAGCTCTCTTCATTATATAGCATTGGTGTTTCTCTTCTTCTATTCACCAAATTTCTAAATGGCTTTTTGTGTTCTTAAAATATTTACTAAGCAAAATTTTAGGAGAGCTCTAGGAGCTGAATGTTTTGGAGCTCAAGAATTGGTCAGCACCTGTGTTTTAGAATAGATGTTAATGGCACAGAACTAGATATATTTTAGGTCTGCCTTAATATAGTTCTAATTTGTCAGAGCTGTGGTTACCAATTTAGATGAACTGTAGTTTTATTCTGCTGTGAAATTTCTGTTGCTTTCTATTGAATTATAATGCTAATAGTAAAAATTTCCCTTGTTTACAATTAAATTCTAATGCTTATACTGAGAGTGATAATTGCAGAGAGGAAATAAAGCTAAAACATTTCTCTCTCTCTCCCCCCTGCTTCCTTTCTTTTTGACATTTAATCCTTGAATCTTGGACATACCTCTGTTCTCTTAAACCAGACTCTAAAGGGAGCCTGCTTAGCACCTTGGTGGAGCAGGGCTCTCTCAAGCCAATGGAGCTGGAAAAGCACCTGGTTTGGAACCAAACACAGCTCCTGCTGAGAACTCTTGACCAGCATACCCAAACCATGCCAGAGAACAACATGCAGACAAACTTTGTGAAGGCCTTCCTTGACTACATTACTACACTGGCTGCTGTGGTGTTACGAAGCTTGAATGCAGAGCTAGGTAAGGGGTTTCTGCTGCAAAGTCTGAGCCTAGGTGAAGATACTCAGACTGTGTAATCTGATCTAATTCTGGAAAGTAATTGTGCAAAATTAGTTCCTTGCCAAATGTACCTACTACCTGTGCTTTTGATTTCAACTGATCATTACATTTCTTTTTCTTTTATTTCATAACACCTAGGCCACCCACAGCTCACATAAAAATAGTTGATGTTAGTGGGAAAATGAGAACAGAAGGTCTAACTGCTGATCCAGGCTCTGCACTCCACTTAGAGTGGAGACAAAACAGCCCTTGACATCCAAAAATTCTTAGTATTATCCCTGTAGGGCAAGATTGATTTTTGCATCCAGTGGATCAGCATACTGTGTAAATTACAGCTTTCTTAGAGGCAGCAAGCACTTTGCTGCTCCACAGGGATAAGGAAAGAGATGTAGAAGGCCATGCAAGGGTAACCAGGCAGAATTCTTTTATAGAATCAGCAAATGATGGTGGTCCATGAAAAGGAATGTACCGTCAGCACATAAAGCTGTCAGAAGAGCAGAACAATTCACTGTACAAGGAGTAAAAAATGCTTATCAGTGTTTTAAAGCTGACACTAAATGAGCTACACTAATGTGAAATACCACAGTACTGATTTCAGGGAATACCTTCCCAAGAGGATAAGAAAAAAGGGCAAAGATCTGTTTGCAGACATGCTGGTTCAGCTCAGGTCACTGCCATGCCAACCGTAACTTCTGCATAGACATGATTTAGTCCTCACTGGCTAACTGACAAAGCCAAAAATTGCACAAAAATACTCAAGGGCTGGGTGAGTTTGGGGGAAATGTATTGGAAAATAAAAGGAAAACTTAGGAGAATGTGTCCAAAGTTACTTGGCATAACTCAGTAGTGGATACAAATGCTTTCCAGCAATAGTGGCCAGGGTTTCACTCCTTCATAAAAGTACCTGGACACCTGTGAGTTCCCTCTGCCCTTGCTAACTGACTTTGACAGAGCATGGACTCATCAATCTACATCCACAGACTCATCAGAAAATAATTCTGCATGTTTTCTGCTTCTCACCATAAATACATATTTTGGTGAAAGTTTAAGTAGAGTTTCTAAACTTTTTGAACCTAGATCTTGTTTAAAGGCTGAAGAGTCTCTACTCTACCTGTTTTGGTAATATGTCCACCATAATGTTGCCGAGATTGAGAGGTATATCATAATCACAAATGCCTTGCAATTTACTCTGGATTTTATCATTCTAATGTGAATTTAGACCTCTGTGAATTTATTAGACTCAGGGCCTTAAAATTTATATTCCTAAAATAAAAGTTGGCTAGTGTGTTCAACTAATGTGTTTGTATTATAATAAATATTCTGGTGTTTTTTTCTCTAAGATGTATCTGCAGAAGTGAAAGTGGGAAACCCTTTCATACTGTTACAGCAGAGTCCGTCTCAGCTGCTTTCCCAGCTTATTTTTGAGAGACAAGTTCATCCTGACAGGTCAGTGCTTTTCAGATTATGTACTCCTGTAGGTTATTTTGGTATTGATGACTTCTACCTCAGCCATGATTAAGTTCTTTGGCTACTTACCACAGGTGGTACAGCCTGCTGTGTCCCACCAGCTGATCACTTGATGCTGCAAGGATTGGTGTGCAGGGAGGAGCTTTGTCAGTGCCTTCTCCATCAACCTGAAAATTTTTGACTGGGAGAATAGTGGCTCCATATTTTTAACAACTACTATCTGTTGTGAAGTGAGAGTGAAATTATGTGGATTTTTTTTTTTTTTTAACTGTGTGACAGTTCGGAGGAGCACACTTGCAGCTCGTCAATGTAATACAATAAAGTAGGCCGGTAGATGTAACTAAGAATACTGGGCATGACTCTTGCCCTTGTCATCAGGTAAACTGGATAAACTAGACTCCTTCCATTGCAACTACTAAATTAGATTGGCATGGAAACTGTCTGATTTGAAGAGGTAGCTTTTAAAAAGACGAGCGCTATTGGTGAACTGTTTTAGTAGCTTGCATTTAGGTAAAAGTCAATGTTTGAGGAATAAGTACCCTTTCTGTAAAGCAATGGCAGCATAAACTTTGAGTTAAGTATATGTAATCTTCTTGTGCATGTACCTATGAAGAATATTAGGGGGCTTGTGTTCTCAAAGCATTTGGAAGATTTATGAAAATATGTAATTATAAAGTACCTTTTATATGTGCTGGGTAAGCTGGTTCTGTTGTCAATCCTACAGGCTTTCTTCTCTCTTGGCTAAAGAAGAGTTGAACCTGAATGTGCAGCAAGTCATTGTTAACTCTTGCTGTGAACCACTGTCCTTGTGCAGTGCAAGGCAAAACAGCCAGGCAAAGTCTCTTCTGACAAACATCAGCAACTTGACATACCAGTGTGCCTACCACTGCCTGCCAGATGTTGAAATACCTATTCACAATTCTGCAGTGACCTCTGAGGATATCTCCACTCAAGCCTCATCCTCTCTGAATGACTTGAGCCAGCACACACTCACTGCCTCCTCCTTGGACTTCCTGAAGTCTCAGTCAAAGCTAATGGCTACAGTGGCATGTCTAAGTGCATCTAATATACATAAAATTCACAAATCAAGCTTGTCTTGGATGGAATTTCGGGGCAAACGGGAGGTGCCCTTAAGCTTGGAACAGATTTCCAGGGAGTGTGAGGCGTTGTTGAAGGAGTTCCCAATATTGGAACGATTTCTTCTTGCTATGTTTGACCCGCTTCGGAATCAAGAGGAAGGTAGCAGTTTGGCTGCTGTCTTGTCTGGCAAGGCATACATGTCTCTGGTTCTCCTAGGATTACATTCCACCACAGCTGTTAAAGTTTTAATGGGAGTCTTTGAACAAGCTCTTGCGGCAAAGGATTGGGACAGAGCTCTGAAGGTCTTGGATCTGTACAGTCAGGATGTGGAGGAAGTGGTCAGTGTAAAGGATGCTGTGCTGAGTTGTGCAGCTGCTGAAGGTAAGAAAGATTAAGTCAGGCTTTTTTTCCTTTTTTTTTTTTTTTAAATAAAGAATGTAGCCTGGGTCAAGACATAGAAACTAAAGTAGTGGTCCTTGGGCAAATCCAGAGATGGAAATAGGTAATTTTCCTTTCTTCATCCTGAATTTGCTTTCTCTGATGGTGTTGTTTCTGTTTCACAAATGTGCAAATCAAGATCAATTCAGTACAAGAGAACTGGAATGCATCTGTGGTCTTATTTTTGTGAGGAGCCGAATACACCGGGGCACAGTAATCATTGTACCGTTAATGAAACACCTCTTACAGCAGTGTCATTGTCCTGCATGGATGATGTGATCTGTGAAAGGTGCCTTTTGGAGTCTGAATAGTATCTCATGCTAACTTTGGATGTTTCCCAAAAATTTGATGCTTGGGATGACTCTTACAAAGATTTTTCAGCCCTGTCAGTGTTTCTTTTGTTGATGTGATCCAGCAAGGATAAGGATTTTTTTGTTTTCTGAATTTCTGAATTGTAGAAACTGAATTTCAGATTAGTGTTTTGTTTCCTCCACAGATAAGGATGGCTGGCAATACTTGTTTCCAGTAAAAAATGCAGTGTTGAGAAGTAGACTGGCCCTGCGCTGTCTGGACAAGTGGCCCCTTGATGCCTGTTTGGAAATTCTAGCTTACTGCGTTTCTGATCTGGGCATACCTCATGAACTAAAAGCCAATCTGCAGAGCAGGAAGAAAGAACTTCTGGTTTATCAAAAGGTACAAAGTCATTCTTCAAGTAACCAGAGAGATGAAATAGGCAGCGGGAAGCAAATATTGTTTGCTCTCTGAAAAGATTTAGCCCTTGGTTCTTTTTTGATCATGAGAGCTTTTCAAGTCTTTTATCCAAAACAGTTCATGTGAAGTACTATAGCAGCCAATTAACACTCAGCTTCTGTCCTTCATAACTTTTCCACTCGCCTATTAGCATTCAGGCCTGCAAACACATTTAGATATAAATATTTGTGTGAATCTGATTGTTTTGCAAAGTATTTTCCATTCTATACAGATTCTAGTGGCTCTGGAAGCTTTCCATGGCAGTTAATCATTTTACAAGTTTGAGAAATGCAGGTAATTAACAAGACTAGTGGTCCAAGGAGCAAGTTTGTATTGCAGTCAGTTCTGACTGCAGCATTGTGCATATACCCAGGTTAAGTCAGACAGGCTGGCCTGGAGGTCAGCACAGACTGAAAAGCCAAACAGAAAAATAAGTAGCTTTCCCTGCTGAGTTCTGTCTGGTGGGAGTTCTGCTAACTGGCAGCTGAGTTGTCTCTCTGTTAGTGCCAGCAATGTCTGCAGTAAACATGCACTTTTACATCCATAATTATTGCCATCTAATCTTTCAAAAACCTTCCCTTATAAATGTGTTTTAAAGACTCACATCTGTGAAAACTGTGGAGGGTTTTTTGGAGTGCAAGGGCATTACATCATCTATCTCTAGAGGGCCTGAAGAGGGCTAGAGATAAACATGGGTCTTCTTTTTGACATTTTCATCCTGTGAGGCAGCTCTTGATGTGATCAGCTTAGCTGTTTTCTTAGGCTACTGATTGCCATAAATTAAAATTCAAGAATTTGCGCTACTCTATATTAACTTTTTCAGATTTTGAATGTGCAAAATGAACCATTGTGGAATGACTGGCAGGATCTGAAAAAAGCCTGCACTGATGACCCCCAGGCTGTGATGAGTATCATTCTTAAAGCAAAGGTATTATGTGAATCACACATCATTATGTGAATTTTGTTGAATTAGAATACATGAAACTTTGAGTAAATAAATTCATTGGAATAGTATGTTAAAACAATAATCAGTGGGGAGGAAGGATTCATTTACTCAGCTCTGTGCTACAGAAGCAAATACAGATCTGTGTTGAATATCAATATTTACTTGTAGTTACTAATGCTTAAGTTTTTGTTAAAACTCTTACTCTGATAAATAACCTGTTCTTTTCTTTTAAAATTTTGAAGATTTTAGAATAGTATAACTTTGGTCATAATACAAATTTGATTATTAGGTAAATGCTGATATTGTAAATCTGTCTGTCTTTAGATGTCTTTCTGAAAAGCTAACTTGTTTACTGGAAGGTAAACAAGGTATTTTAAATGCAGGCTGTGACTGACAAAATTGGCCATCATCTTCCCTTGTCAATGTAATTATTTTTTTTTTATCTGGGAGAGGAGTCTAAGCTACAGAATCTCTTGATCAGAACTTTGGGAGAAACAACTGTATGGGGGAAGGTTTTTACTTTTTTTTTCCTTAATTTTTTAGGATTATGAATTGTGTGAGGAGTGGGGACACTTGTATCCTGTACCAAGAGAAGACTTGATCAATCTTCACCGTGAGCACCTTCTCCACTTACTGGAGATGGGAGACATGGAAAAGGCACTGCAGGTAATAGCAAGACACTCTCAGCCTCATATCCACAGATCACATAAGTCGACAGCTGTTTTCCCTGCCTTCACTGTGTGTGTTTTCATGGGCTTTTTGGTTCCACCCTTAAGAGATGTTACTTGCTTAGATAAGCTTTTAGATTCCTAGCTCTCCCCTGTTCTCCTTAAGTAAAAATCCAGCTTGGCAATTTAGTTCTTGGACCTAATAGTATAAATGTCACTTACATGGAAATACAAGGCTTCTTTCATTTTAAAAATCATAATGAAACATGTCAGTGATGCTTAAGCAGAAGAATCAGAAGCGAAACTAACAACATAAATTAGTCAGCTGTGCTTCAGTGCCCAAATTAGTGGTGTGAACATTTTTGGTTTTAATAATGATGTAACTGTCACTTGGAGAGTGAATTAATTTGCTTTCTGGAACACTGTAGGGTAATAAACTGTCATGAACAGAAGGCTACCTTCCAGGAGTGTTGTAGGGTTTTGTGTGTTTTATTTGGTTTTGTAGCTTTTACAAAGAATCGAAGACCCTGGTGTTTGCCTTGCCATCAGTGAACAGTCCCTTGACCAGCATCCGAGCTTGGCAGCCTCTCACTTCTTGGCTGATTACCTCACAGCTCACTTCTATGCCAGCCTGACAACAGCACGCCGGAATGAAATCCAGGCACTCTATGTAGGATCAAAGGTCAGTAAAACCCCTGCTTTGAGGATTAACAGCAATAAATAACTGTATAAGTAATTTTGTAATGCATAATATTTCCATAATATAAAAAGCCTGCAGGTTTTACCAGAGCATTCTTACTACATTGAGTCTAAGATCTGGAGTCTCAAGATCCAAAGGGAAGTTAGAGATGACTTAAAGCTTCTCTTTTCTTTCTCCACTTTTGCAGTTCCATATTATGGACAAAGCAGTCTTGCGTATGAACTGTGGGGAGTGGAGGAACACGCAGGCTGAAAGAGGATAGGGTGGAATAAAATGAAATTGTGGAGTTTATCAGAACAGTTGATGTCTTTGTCCCAAGTGAAGAAGAAAATATCCTCAGCTTACTCTCTGTATCAGTAACACCAGGTGTCCTACCTATGCCCAGCCTTATGGTGGTTTTTTGACTTCATGTTTCTCCCAAGTGCCTTCCAGAGGTGGAGAGTATCACTACCCTTTCTGGATGGCCACTGCCTTTACAGAAGTCACACAGATTCTGTGCTCAGCCTGGGAATAGATGCATTAATCAGCAGATTACCTTAGCTGAATGCATTACATGTAAACAAAATGCAGTGTTCTGGTGTAGGACTGTAGACAGCAGCTTGCTCCAGTGTGTGCCACAACAGTATTTTGCTGGGCTGCCTGTTTCCTTACTTGTTCCTTCTGAAGATATGACTTAATTTGAAAAGAATCTGTATTAATCTAGAGGAGAATTGCTCTTATTTTGCCTCTTAACAGTTCCTCAAATGATAGGAGGATAAGCATCGGGCTAATATGCTTTTTATAAGTTTATTTTAATAAGAGAATGTGCTGTACTGTGCTACAACATACTTGTCACAGGGTTACAAAAGTTTTTTTCACTCTTCCATAGTCTCTGAAATGAGGCAGTATTTTATAGAAGGGGAAGTGGAAGCTAAGTGATTCTGCAAATCCTCTCAGTAAGTTTGTAACAGAAGTAGGAATTGGCCTGAGAACACCCACCTCCTTTTTTTGACCTCCACCTGTCATTCCATTCTCTGCTCTAGTTTCTTGTCTTTGATCTCACAGACTTAAAGGTGTGTAATTCTATGATACTATTTTTTTGTGTGTCTCAGGTGCTGCTGACTCTGCCTGAGCTCTCCCGTGTTAACTACTTCCACCTCTCCTCAAAGCCACTGCTTATGTTGGAACAGCTCCTCATGAATATGAAGGTGGACTGGGTAGCTGAAGCTGTGCAGACACTGCACCAGCTTTTAGCTGGGCAGGAAATTGGTTTTAATGTAGAAGACATTGACAATTTGCTTTCCAAGTATGCAGAAAAAGCTCTCAACTTCCCTTTCACATTAAAAGAAAAGAGATCAGGTAACTATCAGAATGCTGGATTTCGTTTGGGAAAGAAGGGCCAAAATCCTCCCAGAATAATTTCAGCAATCGTGGCATAACTTTTTTTAGATGTGTGTGCCTTCAGTCTCCCTCCAGCCCAGTATGTGTCCTTAAAGTCTTTACCTTTCTTGTAAATAGAGGTTTTCAAGGACCAACTGCTCCAAAAGTTTCTTAGACATTTTTCTCTGTTGTTCCTTATTGAGGTTTCTTTTCTTGTATAATATTGATCAGTTTTATTTTACTCCTGTTCAATGCAGTCACTGACAACTTCAGCACTTCTAAAGCCTGCAGCCAGCTACATCTTCCCTGAAGTAGAATGGGATTTAGTCTTCTGTAGTATCCCCTCCTACCAGAGTCCTATTGCTTTTTCATATAGAAAGCTTCTAGACTCATAGTTCTGTTTAACAGTCTTGTTATGGTTCTGCTTTCTGGCTTGCCAATCCCTTCTCATTTATGTTGTCTTTGAGTCTCGTGCACTTGGCTTCTTTTAAGATTTTAGAACTGGAACAGCAGAGGGTGCTGCATATCCATTCCAATGCTCCTATGTCACTGTATTAAAAAGATATGGTTCTGTATCTTATCTCTATTTGTACCTCCTGATGTGGTACCAATTTTCATTATGCCAGTTTCCAGGTGTTGACTTGATTTTGTGATTTAGACAAAGCTCTTGGTACATAAAAGCATCAGACTTATCTATCTCTTCCTGCCAAATGATCCATAATTCTGCAAATATGTGTGTTCCTTCCACTGCAACGTGAATCATTTAATATTTGCCATGAGCATCTTGTATTAATCAATTGTTTTCACATCTCTGCTGTATTGTTCCTATTGTGATCATTACTCCCTTGCTTTGATAAGGATCCCTTTCTTTGTTTTTTAGGTAATTGAATTTTATACAGTTTTGCATTACTTGCTGTGGACTAATTTGCATGCGGACAGTAATATGTAATTCCATAGGTAGTCCTGTATTGTGCTGAATTTACATAGTCCTGTGAATGGATTCCTCTAATCTTCTTGAAAACAGATAGATGAATTGATCAGTATTGTCCTCTGATTGTTTTTCCCCCTTTCTTCCCTTTGTCCTAGATTCTCTGACACGTATTCAAGAGAGTCTCAATCAGGTGTTGGAGTGTGAAACATTGTCTAAACCAGGATCATCAGAATTATCTCCTGTCAGCGTTACTGGTAAGGTTAAGACCTTGGTGCCTGTTGGGATTTAACCTCAGCAGCAACCACAGCTGCTTGATCATTTCTCCCCCGGCCCCTTCACAGGTGGGATGTGAAGGAGATTCTGAAAAGGGTAAAACCTGTGGGTTGAGGTAAGGAGAGTTTAATAACTGAAATCAAGTAAGATATAGCAATGATGATCATGATGAAAAGGGAGATAAGAAAAACAGAAAAGAAGAACAAAACCCAAGAAAAACAAATGCCCACCACCTGTTTACCCAGTGCCCAACCCATTCTCCAGTGGAGATCAGCCCCTCCCAGCCATTTTCTCCCGGTTCATTCACTGGTATGCCATTCTGTGGTCATTGATTTTTTTTCCCCTCTGATTCCTGTTGTGACCTGAGGAAAATAGCACACCTTGTATTGTCTGAGAAGCTCCACTCAGAGTCCTCAGACACAAAAAAATGGAAAGTAAGTAATTTAAGACAGAACAACTGGAGAATATTCGAAGCTAAGAAATAACGGGAGACTCCTCTGCAGATTTTGTTCAGCAACTTGTGCAAGAGATGCAGTCTGTGTGTGCTCTTGGGGAACAACTAACAGAATATCCTCAAACCTCCAAGGATGATGATTCTTAGCAAGTGATGGGTCTGAACTAGAACTGCAGAACGATATCCTGATCTACAGTGTAGGGTGTCTGAATTATTTCCTGCGTCTGTATCCTGAAGACTCTTCTTGCTTTCATGAAGTGACAGCAGTGTTTTGGATTCGGCTGTGTAGCTCTTCAGTTTTTTCTTATAATGGTCAGCCTAATATGTCTATCCTATTAAAAAAACTTGAATGCATGGTCCTTTAATGGACCATGTTTGGAATCTGGTATATACTTAAATGAAAATGAGTTAGCTTTAGTGAAATGGAGATTTTTGTTCTTCTTTAGTTTAATATGCATGTACACAGAAGGTGGCTTGAAGGGCTGCAGTGACACATTGAACTTTTTAATTAACCTGTTGAGTAACTGATTCACGTCATATAAACTAAAAGCCTATCTAATACTGTAGACTTCATTCAATAAGTATTTCATTGCTGTGGTTGAAGATCCCAAGGGCTACACTTAAATTTCTGCCTCTGTGAACTGATTTCCTCACAGTAGATTGTAAAGGTGACCAGAATAGGTAGAGCTAGGCTGTTGCTAGCCACACCACATCTCTCCTGAGATAACAAAGGAAACTCCCAGTTTCTGGGAATGTCAACACTGTGCATACCTCAAATTCTATTTTATTCTGTATTGTGTTTTGGTATCCAGTGGCTATGGTATTTTTTTTCTTCCTCCGAATCTCTGCATGTGATACAAGAACAGACGTTGACATGTCTTATACCTCTCTGTATATTGTTGCAGTAAAGGTCTCTTTCTAAGTGCTTTTTCTTGCTTGTCAGCCTTGAGGTGCTATAAGTTTGCAATCTTAGTTTAAAGCATATATATTCCTTAAACAATGTTATTCTGCCGTGCCTAGCTGAAAGGTAATGGTAGTAGTCATCTTGTGAGACAGAAAGATCTTACAGCCTCATTGACTCATGGTATTTTCTGGTACTTGAGCCTCTATTAAACAGCTTAAATCCCATTCCATATTTTTCTTGGCATGGCTCATTTTCAGGTGTAACCATATCTGCAAGTCCCAGAGACAGAAGCCTGCAGCAGAACTTGTTTCCTCAAGAATTTGTGCCTCCTGAGAAGCCACCACCAAAGCAAGAATGGATACCTGATGACACTGAAACGATATGTATGGTTTGCAAAACTGAGCGCTTCACTATGGTAAGGAGCAAAAACAAAGTACAGACATTCCTAGAACTGTGACCTTAATATGAGCACTTCCTCATAGTCTGTTTCCTGAAAGACCCGAATTACTTTAGCAGGTTTGTCTGCATCGCCATGGGCTCAATAAAATTGCTAGTCCTTTGGTATTTAACCATTGGTTTCTATTTAGAGTGGCGAGGAGACTGGCAACAGTTAGCTCCTTGCAGAGTTCCATGAAGTGATAGAGCCTAAAGAGGATATCTGGCCATCAGAAAGAAGACAACTATGGGATCTCAAAAATGTGTAACAGCAGCAGTATTAATATTCCAAAAGGTTTTCTAGTTGACTCTGCTGGCAAGAAATAACATGATCACTGTATGATTCAGATTACAAGTATAGAAGATTAAATCTTTGCTGCTGGTTTTCTAAAAACTATTGTTTCACAGAGTACTTGAGCAACAGCCTTGGTGCTCTAAGGGAGAACATTAATTTTTGATTTTGCAGGTGTGGCAGTCTTTTATCTTCCATTGCTTAGAAACAGTACTGTTTTCCTAAAAGTACCTGTTGCTTTTGAATTTGGAAATTTTTACAATAGTATCAGAAAAACAGTCTAGAGCTCTTAACTTTTCCAGGACATGATCTAATTAGCTTTGTGGTCAAAACTGGGATAATTTAAGTAATTTAAATTTCCCAATTTCCCAAGCTTTCCCAGTTAGCTTTCCCAAGGCTGCTGCAAACATATTTTAAATACTGACCTCTGGCTTTAGGGTTTGATTTTTTTTTTTCCCCTTTGCTATGCTTTCTTAAAAAGGCATTTTAACAGGGAGAATCAATCACTGTGTAATTCTGAAAAGCCTTATCCTGCATGGGATTACCTCACTTCAAATGAAATAAGTTTACTCACAAGTGGAGAGAGACACAGGAGGAGACTTTCCTCCTGTGGAAAGTAAATTCTCTTTGTGGCTCATCGATGACCTCTTGCTTAGTTTAACAGGCGCCATCACTGCAGGCGCTGTGGCAGACTGGTGTGCAGCTCTTGCTCCACCAAGAAAATGGAAATAGAACCTTGCAGAGAAAATCTGTCCCGTGTATGTGATCAATGCTATAGCTACTACAACAGAGAAAACATGCCTGGCTTGGTGCAGGACACAAGCACGTAAGTCCTTCTGTCCTAGTTCTCTTCAATTTTCAGCAGAGTGCATGAATGGAATGAGAGAGACACAAGCATTTGGTTTTATCTGGATAATAGACACAAGCATTTGGTTTTATCTGGATAATGTAACATCAGCTGTTTGGCCTCCAGTTGTTGGGATTTTCAGGTTTAGTAGGTGTGGGAATGTTCCTTTTGCTTCATTTTACTTTTCACATTGTAAAGAACATTGGAAGTGCAGGCAACAAATTCTTTAAGTATCAAAAATTCTTAAAGCATCAATTAATCACTAACCTAAGAATTTAATGCTTTAGCGCAAAACAGCACAAATTGCAATGCTTTAGCGCAAAACAGCACAAATTGCTACAATGTGACCAAGTTCCTTGCAGTATAATCAGCTCCTAGATTAACACTGCATGCTGACTAGCTCTGCTGAACATACCAGTGTTTTAGTTATCTGTAATTCCTTGGTTATGTCTCCCTGAACCCTTGGGAATTAAAAAGCAAGTTTCTGATTAGATAGGCTTTGAAACTGCCTTTAATAAAAGGGACAGTTGTGATGACAGATTTTTTTTATGTGGTTGCTTTCAGTTGAGAATTGGACTGAAATTCACAGTGTGTACACAGGCCAGCTAGTGAAAAGTGCAGGTGAAAAGAATTTTACTCTCTGTGACCTTGAGCAGGCTTGACAGGGTCAGAGAGAGTAAGATTTACCCTTTCCAGACATGCTTTCAGATGCATTTCCCCTTTCCTATCGAGCCTGCAGACAGCAGTATCCACTATGGCAGTATCAGCAGACTTCCTAGGAAGAGAGCAATTCTGTGCAGATCTGAGGGGGGAACCTGTGAAAAAACAAGCAGCCACTTGTAGCTGAACAGTTTGTATCCAAATGGTTGCTTACATTGCTAGATGAGGCCAGCAGTGCTCAATGCTGTGCTTGAATGCCACTTGCCAGGTTTTAGTTAATTGTCTGGAGTTTTTTATACTTGCCCTGTTTGTATATCAAACCCAAATAAATCTTAAGGACAGAGACTTGGATGCCAAAGACTTTGTTTTATCTCTGACATGTCCTGATACTGGGCAGTTCATGTTCTCAGTGTCTGCTTTTTTATGATGTGTGCAACAGCACTGTTCCTACAGGTCATAAGAACCAATTACTTAGTGCAGTTGAAATACAACAACACAGAGGCAGAATCTTAGATTAACAATCAGACGGGATTAGGGGCAGGACAGTGTGTTGAAAAGGACAGGTAGGGGTAGGTGTTGGATTTTTACAGAACATTGTTAGGAGGAGGGTAGCTGTATTGATGTCTGACTTAAACCATGCTTTTCCCAGTATGCTGGAGTAGGCATGATGGTTCTTTCTGTAATTTTATTACAGCAGAAAAGAAGATCAGGACCAAGTGGAAGGTAAGGAATGAAGTAATGTTAAACCTCAGTTTTTTAAAGTGCCTGATTAGCAGTTAGATACTGGAAGCTAATACACCTAGTTGCAACTAAAGAGTGATCAGAACTTCAGTTACAAAATAATCATTGATGGTTTTTGCATGTGCAGGCTGAAATTGAGCATTTCAATCTTCTGTGAATGGAAGTTGAGACTTACGAGAGATATCTGAGCCGATATTGAATGTGTTCAATGGGTGTTATAGAAAGGAACTGAAAAAGAGTTGGAGAATCCACTTTTCATTCTAGAAACAGTCAGTGGCAGGCAGTGGTATGAGTAGGAATTAGCTCACTACAGAGCAGTGCTGAGGGATCCTCTTTTTATAAACCATGACAATACACTTCTGAGTACCACTGCCATGTGCTGTGGTGTTTTATACCCCTGGCTGCCTGGAGGTAGCACAGGAGAAGACCCCTCTCATGGGTCAGGTTTTGTCCTGAGTTCCATCTCCTGTGTCAATTTTGTGAAAATAGTAATTGCATTTTGGTGCCTCAATTTCCAAATCTAATATCTTAGGCTTCAGGAATAATAGCAAAATTTAACTGAATTTTTCTCTATTTTTCCTCAGGAGGTATTTACTGTTTTTGGTGTTTTGGGTGATTCTGCAAAATTTTCCTACACTGATGTGAAATTCTGTCAGAGCAAGACAGTTATATGAGGTGCTCATGTCAGTAGCATGAAACATGGTGCAAAATTTGCATTTGTGGAATAACAAAGCAAAAAATTTTTACTTATTTGTTCCTTTTTGAAGTATGATGGGCTGTTTGAGAATTTTTTCCCCTGCTGTTGATGGAAGCTTGCTTTACTGCTACCTTTGTTCCAAGACTGAAACAGCTGAAATGTAGCTTTTTGTGTCGCATTGCTGCACATCACTGCACCTGTGTGATCCAGTCAATAAGAGTAGATTAGAACAATGTGGAAAATAATCAGATTTAAGATGGGAAGTTTTATTTTGCTTTTCTAACTTTTCTGATGAGACTGTGAAGAAAGCTTATCAAATATTTCCTAGCTTGGTTTATTTTTGTCAATTCAGTTTCTATTTCAACTTGGAAAAGTGCAGGGGGGATGTTGGGGTTTGGTTTGGCTGCTTTGGGATTTTTTTAATTCATTCTACAGTTTTAGAGTTACTCAACAGTCTAAAAAGGGATGTGAACTCTAAATGAGTATGTTTTGAGTATTTTTTTTTTTTCCCAGAGGAAGCTGATCAGGGGTAAGAGTAGCATTCTGGGTTACAAGTTTCCCAACAAGTATTTCCTTAATCTGGAGGACAGAAAACTACTTTTCACAGAAATTGTATTTCTTGAGTCATTTGATCAGATCTCCAGTTTTCTGTAGCACTACTTTATAAGAAAATTTAACATTAGGAGTTAGGTCATCTTAAAATCTTTTGGTTTATGGACACTATGGTCAAAGAGAAAATTAAAAAAAAAAAAAAAAAAGGAACATAGAGGTGGTTAAGTCAATTTACCCTTTCTTTCAAAACTGTTCTTTTATTTTCCCCTTTGAGCTGAAACCCACAGCTCTCACATTTCCAGTTCCTTCCTGCTCAGAAATATTTAATAAATTGTCTGAGGGAAGGCTAAAGAGGGAAGGCTGCTGTGCTTGATGCCCAGTAGCATACAAGTTAAAAAATAATTTGAAAATACATTACTGGAACCAGTTTTTGGTAACAGTGACAGTAAGTTTAGGTACAATTTGTCAGGCTGCTGAGGGAAGGAAATGTTTCTGTGATCTGTGCTGGACATGTGATGCTGGCAGGAAATGGCACAATGAGAGGATTATAGATGACTATTTTTTGAGAGATAGGAATGTTCTGCATTATGTGTCCTTAGCTGGGTTTGTTGGTTCTTGTGCAAAGATTTTACCTGGTGTTTTCATTTTTGCTCTAGAAACTTCTAATAATGAATATTCCACAGTGGTACAAATACCCAAGGCAACTGATCTTGAATGGATTTTTTCTCTGAATGAAGAGGAGAATGAAATTGTACGCAGCGAATTTTATTATGAACAGGTGAGGTCAGGAGAGAGTCTAATATAAGCAGTTCACTGGAGAGCTACCTCAATACCTATATTTGTCTGTCTTTCCTCAAATTATCAGGCTCCCAGCTCTTCCTTGTGTATTGCCATTCTCAGCCTGCACAGTGACAGCATAGTATGTGGCCATCAACTGATAGAGCACTGCTGCAGGTTGTCCCAAGGGCTCACTAATCCTGAGGTGGATGCTGGACTCCTCATGGACATCATGAAACAATTGCTCTTCAGTGCTAAAATGATGTTTGTAAAAGCTGGAAGGAGCCAGGACCTAGCTCTCTGTGACAGGTGATTTAATGAGATATTCATTAGGATGTATTGTGGTACTGTCAAGACCATTATGTTTTTTCATTGAGGAGTACAGGTGGAAGGGTTGATTTGTGTTTGTACTGTGGGACCAATTTAAATGAGAAGTTCATAATGCAGGAATAATGTGCAAGTTCAAATAGGAGAAGTTCAAGTAATATGACTACTTAACAATTACTGAGAGAGATCTCTGACTAGGAAGAAATTATTCACAAAGACGGGTACATATTTTACTTCTGATATTGTATATCTGCTTTCAGTCTGTATTTTTATACAGGATTTTAAAACCTGTGCTTCCTGAGAATTCATGTTTTACACTTCACACTTTGTCCTACAGAGCTCGAGGTGGCAGGTGTGATATATGAATTTCACATGTACTGTTTTGATTTGATAAGATACAGCTGGTGTCTTCAGTTGGCGTGTTACACTGAACATGGCAAAGAAACCCCAAACAATAACAAATACTCTGACAGGGATAGTATGATGCATAGAGAAACCTGGTGTACTGGTGATTAGAAACCACTGTTCTAAGAGTTGTCTTTGACATAAAGTTCTTTAATGTATGGTAACATACATTACAGTGTAATATATATACATACAGTGAAAGTGTATGTATTTGTTTGACCTCTAGCTACATCAGCAAAGTGGATGTGTTGAATATTTTGGTTGCTGCTGCCTACCGTCCAGTGCCATCTTTGGATCAGATCCTTCTCCCAGCAGCAGTAACAAGACTGAGAAATCAGCTTTTGGAAGCAGAGTACTATCAACTAGCCATAGAGGTAATGCTGGTAGAGGGGTGTCAGTGTTAAATCTTCTCTAGTGGCTTTTGTTTCCCTCCTTCTTGAACTCAGATGGATGTGATGTGTGAAATGCACAATATTGGAACAGTTAGAAACTGAGATTAGAATTCTAAATATGGAAGAAATAATCTATTGAACACAGGAAGAAATTTCTGAGATGTAAAGTCCTGCTGTGGAGCAGGCTGCAGAAGGGAAGGATAAGCAGCCTTGTTTCCTGGTACAGTTAAGACTGGAATAGACTAACTGCAAGGAAGTCATTAAATGGAGGAATCTTGCAGCCAGTAGAAAGGGTGAGATACCCTTTGTGGCAGGACTTTATCTGATGCTTAAATGTTAGATTTTATTTGTCTGTAATCTGACAGCAGACATTGATAAGGCACCTTTCCCAACCATTTATTTGAAAATCAGCAATGTTGGCAAAGAGCTCATCTGATGTGGTTTATCATTATCTAATCCTGCTCCCAGGATTTTGTAAGCCTCTCTTTTATGGCATTGCACTTTGTTAAATACAGGATTATGATACTACAAATAGTATTAAGATTTGTTAAGCAGTAATAAACAGCAAGAATAGATGACCTATTTGAATAGAAATAGTTCTTGTTTAAAAGCAGCTAAAAGAGTTTTAGGCCTACTAAAGAAAATCAGGAATAAATTTTATCAGCAAAGTTGTGTGAAATAAAAAATACCTTGGCAGTTCATGAAGCATCTTCTGTTGCCTTTTTTAAAACCACAAATCTGATGAATTCTGCTCTGTAAAAATCATCTGCTTTTCTGATTTAGAACTCATGAACTGAAATTTCCCAGATAAACAGTAGTTTAAACTTGTACAATAAAAAATACTTCCAGATTTGCTGATCATGGGCATTTTGGTAGTTGGTCTTTTGTGCCAGTAATATGGAAATAATCAGCATGTTTTTTTCATATTGTTTTTCAGTTGTTTGTTTTTAATGGGAAGTGTGCTCTAGGACGGGAAAGGTCCAAATCACAGACTGTGTGATAAGCCATTTTTCCTATTTGCTGTACTGGGACTGTGTTGTAATAATAACAAATTATTTTGAATTTAGGTTTCTACAAAATCTGGATTGGATCCAGGTGGAGCATGGCATGCTTGGGGCATGGCTTGCCTTAAAGCTGGAAATTTAACTTCCGCAAGAGAGAAGTTTAACCGATGCTTAAAGCCACCCATGGATCTAAACCAGCTGAACCATGGTTCAAGGCTGGTCCAGGATGTGATCCAGTACCTGGAGTCCACAGTGAAGCCAGTACTCATCACAGTAAGAATCTTCTCTATCTGCTCTGAGGGTCTATGGCAAAGCCAAGTACTGATGGTTTAGTACACATCTTACAGCAATCCATATTACAATAGCAGGTGTTAGAGTGTTTATTTTCCTTCTTTGTCATGATTGTGCGTTGCAAATTGAATATTGTTGGAAAACTTTTATCTATTTCGTCACTTTGAAGTGGTACCTGAGAACCAGATCATAGGATTTTATAGTCATTTGGAATATACTTTGTGGAAGAAGAGGCTGTACTGGATAATGTATTATTACTTCAGTCTAAGGAAGCTAAACCAAATCCCAGCAGTATTTTGTGATGCTGCAGTGAGTCAATTTTTCAACTAAAACTCTGTTAACTTTACAGAAGTTCAAAGCCTTTCAAATGCTTTTCCACTCCTCTAATCAAAAAACATTATTAAATGGTTTGGAATTCTGTTTAGGTACCAAAGACTTACCTTTTTTACTAAATAACTGCAGAATCATGATGATGAAAGACCAAGTACATATTTTAGGACAATAAAAAAGCCTCTTTGAACCGAGTTGTTGAAGTAGCTGTTGACACTGGAATTTTTTTTAAAGCCTTCTGTTTGTCCCTGGAAACGGCTATGCTGGGTACAGCAAGATTCAGCACATCTGTTGATAGCAGGGTTCCAGTCTAGTGTTTATAAAAAGCATTGCTGGATTCTCACCCCTCTGAAGCCTATTTTAAAAACAACAGTAACAGAAGTGCTTCAGGGCTGAGTGACAGAACCTATCTGAAAAGAAGGTTTTCTCTTGCTGAGCACCTATCATTGGTTCTCTGTGTTAATGGCAGGATGATGATTACTTTGCCACATTGAGGGAACTTGAAGCAACACTGAGAACAAGAAGTCTGTCGCTGGAGGTGATGTGTGAGGGGAAGATTCAACACAACAGCTATTATCAGGAGTGCTTGTTCTATTTACATAGTTATGGCACTAATCTGGCAATAATAAGCTTTTACATGAGACATGACTGTATGAGAGAAGCACTGCTTCACTTGTTAAATAAGGTGAGTAATTCAATTTTCATCCCTGAAACTGAAATTTGAAAACCAGCAATGAGCATTGTGCAGTGTTTGGGTGGTTTTCTGCACAGGAGTTTGCTGAGGTCCTGAAATGCTGTTACACAGACTATCCAGTGGCTGACAGGAATTCAGTGGGACAGAAGAACAACATTGATCTTTACACATCTAGGAAAGAGAATGTGCAGATTTTTTATAGAGGTCCTGCATCAACAGCACTTCATCTTTCTTTCTACAGTTGAAAATGTGGGACTGTTGTCCTAGAGTTCAGAAGAGAGAAGGATAATTTTTAATTCCAGCATTCAGATAACTTTAGACACTACTCTCTATCCCTGTGTCTCTATCTCATGGTATTGCTTGTTGAATCAGATCACCTATGTTTGCAATTCTGTAACCATTAGGAATATAAGGAAATACAGAGGACAGAAGTCTAGGGAACCCAAAGTGTTGTTTCCAGCTCTCCCTTTAGGGAACTGCATGATATAAGGGGACTTAAGTATCTCTGGAATAAACAGTTCTATTGGTGCTAAACTAGAATTAATATGCCTTTATATTACATAAGGAAAATAAGCTGCAGGGGCTTTGCTTCAAGCTACTTTCTGCTCGTGTAGGAATCCCCATCAGAAGTGTTTATTGAAGGGATCTTCATTCCCAGTTATGAAAGTGGAAAACTGCATATGTTGGAGAACTTGCTGGAAACCATTGATCCAGGATTGGAAAGCTGGGGAGTCTACTTGATTGCAGCCTGCAAATACTTGCAAAGAAAGAACTATTACCATATTCTGTATGAATTGCAACAGTTCATGAAGGTAAGTTGAGGGACAGTGCCATCTCTTTCAGTGAATCACTGAATACTGTCAGATTCTTGGTTATTTACTTTGGTCTAAACCTTCATTCTGGACAAGTGTATTTTTGCCTCTTTACAGTCTTAGGAAACATAGAAAGGCCTGAGCCTTACTAAGGGTGACCTGATCCATGTCATGGATCTGGCACATTGTATTAAAGAAAACAGAGCATTGCCTACTATGTGTGAGCCCTTTAGTGCAGACAGTGATTACTGAAGGTGATGTCCTGTGGTCCATCTTAGTGGTGAGTGCGTTTCTTTCAGGATCACGTCCGTGCTGCAATGACCTGCATTAGATTTTTCACTCATGGAGCAAAGTCTTACACTGAGCTTGGAGGAAAACAGACATGGCTTCTAAAGATCAAAGACCATCTCAAAGTCTATCTGCAGGAGGTCTCAAGAAGTGCAGGAAGGAAAAAAATGGCATTCACTTTTCGGAAGAAAATGTCTGCTACGGATGTGTCGAGGTATTTACAAACAAGAAGCTTTGTTTTAGGAGAGGTGAAATTCAGGCTTTAGACTTTGGGGGTTTTATTAGTTTCATTTAAGTTGGCTTTAGCTAACACTTACTGGCTGTCCTTGACCCAAATCTGCTTTTATGTAGTAACAAGTCTAGGATTCCCATCACTTTTTCCCCGAACAATCCAAACCAGGAGATGGGCAGTTGTTTCTACCAAAAATATGTATGTGTATCAGACTACCCTCCTTTAATTTCAAAAACAAACAGGAACCCTACAGTGCATTGACAATTGTACATGAGTCCACAAGTTTTTTTTTCTTTTTCTCTTCCTTTCCTCTCTAAAAAGCAAGCAGCTTTGTATGCTTCACTGTCTGCTGGGGCTAACTTAAAATTCTTCACTATGTACAAGCTATAGGTGCCAGAGATAGCTGGATTCCTGTATTCAAAAGTCAAAGTGCAAATTTAATCAGATCTCTCTTGTACTTGGGGTTTTATATCTTGCTTTTCTTAGGGGCTTTTTTCTTTCTTTTATTTAGGTTAGACTCTTAGCTTAAACCTAGAGGGCCTGTATGTGATGAAGTGAAAATGCAGGAACAGATATTTATTTAGGGATCCAATTTCTCTGGCTCACTTCTTTAAAACAAAGTGAATAATTGCTCAGCTTCAGCTTGTGATGCATGTTAAGTGCACAGATCTTAAAAGTAACATTGCTGCAGACTTGTACAATGGACAAAGTCAAAAAGCAACTAAAAGAATTGTTTATAAATTTGTCTTCTTTTAAAAGATATTGAACAAATATAGTCAGTTCATATAAATAATTATTGACACTTTTCCTATTACAAAATAAAGTCAGAATTTTTTTACTGTCTAGGCACATCAATACAGTTGATCTGCAGATGGAAGTAACAAAGTTCCTGCATCAGTGTGAGAGCACAGGAGCCTCTCAAATGACAGATTCCTCCTTGCCCACACTCTTTGGAAATAATAACATGAAAATGGATGTTGCTTGCAAGGTACTAATTACCATATTAAACACAGCTCTATTTTTTTTCTACAATACTAACTTGTAATGCAGGCTGAAGCATTTGATGTTTGGAGCAATTTCTTGTATTTTTTATGGGCAGGTTACTTATGCATGAATGCAACCCATTATTTATGAAAAATTCATGCTTTTCCTCAAAGTAGCAGAGAACATGTGAGAACTTGGAGCTCATCTCCTCAAAGTTTAAATTTTCTGAGGCAGAGCATCCAAAACACAAATAGTAATATTCCTTTTGACTGCATCCCATTTTGTTTGGAAGCAAGGCAAATAATGCTATAATTCTAACCATCCTTAACTTTGTCTCATCTCCATCTGTAAATTGCCTTGTGTCCCTCAGGGAAGCAGTGTTTATAATTTGCTGTACTTCTTGGTACTGTTTTCGTGCTGTTTTCTGTTGAAGTAATGCATTTTCTTTTGGCTTCTGGGCAAAATCTGGATTTGCATTAATATTATTTAACTGTATGTAATGAAAAAGGAATGTGCATTCCCAGACTTGTCTGTGTCTCTTTTTTCAGGTCATATTGGAAGGCAAAAACATTGAGGAGGGGTTTGGGATTGCATTTAGAGTTCTCCAGGTATGGAAAAAATTGATATAGCAAGCAATATTATTACAAAATAACTCCTGAAAGCAGCAATTATTTAAACAAAAGCCTTTTGTACCCCTAAATGTATTTTAATCCACCCAAAAGAAAAACTTTTTGAGAGAAAAGTCACAGGTTTAATTCTTACATGTCCATGTATTTGTGGAAGCTCAGTAAAGAAATTAAGATGCTGTTTCACTAGGACATTTCCAGAGTTAATTGGGTCCTACAAAGCAATGAAATACAGCTTTTCCTTTGCTGTGCACCTTGTTCAGTGTCTTAACTCTGGCAAACCACAATCATAGATGTGTGTAGAGACCTCTCATGTGGTAGCTCTCTGCAGTTCATAACAGTCATGCAATGACTGTGAATAAATAAGGCCAGGGCTCTCTCTGTTCTGTTCTCCTAATTTGAAAGCAAAATTAATTAACTGGAAACTCTCACTGGGGACCTCTCATTCCTCATGTCTGGGTAGAAGTTGAGTGATTTTCAGTCAGCATAGCTCACAGGCCTCTAAATTCTCCTGAGTGTTTCTCATCCACATAGTCCCAGACAGTAGAGCAGGGCACTTTTGGACAGAGGTGTCACACTGAAAGTATTTTTGGATGTGGCAGGCCCTGCTTCTTCTTTCAGGTCAGGATGTACAAGACAGAGCTCATTTGTAGGGAGATGGAGAGCCCTAGAAAAACAGCACTTCTAAGCAGCAGCCACTACCTCCAATAAAAATGGAGCAGTGAGTCCTGCTGGAAATGGAATCACTTCCATTTCCATCCTTTTTTTTTCTTTATTTAATCATTGCAGGATCAGCTCACAGCTTTTATCATCTTTTCCCTCACATGGATGGTGTTCGATGGTCAATTCCCTCCTGTTTGGGGTATCCAAAAAGTGACTGCTAGTGAGAGGGCTACAGAAATACAGTGGAAACATGCTAAGTGAGGGAGAGGTGGGTAGGGATCTAGGAAAGATCTTTTGCTAGAAGAAATAAAACTGACTTTTTGCCTGAAAAGAAGGCAGTAACAGCACTCTTGTTCTTAAGCAGGATTGATTTTTGCAAGTCTGGTTATAAAAAAGTCAACCCTGAGCAGTGGTGAGTGGAAAACCAGAGGCTCCCAAAACAGCTTTAAGTTTTTGGACTGTGGTGTAGTATTTTGTCTTCAGGAGAGACTGTCTCAGTTGTGTAGACTCCCTCTGAGAAAACCTGCTGAGAATATTCAGCGTGTTGCTCTAATGTTCCAACTACCTCTAGGACTTCCAGCTGGAGGCTACAGAAGTTTACAGCAAAGTGGCCAAGCAGCTGGTGAAGCAGCAGAAATACAGCGAGATCCAGCAGCTCCTGAAGTGTGTCAATGAGTCTGGAGTGGCAGCAAAAAATGATGGGGATAACATTATCCTAAACTGCCTAAATGAGTTCAAAAACATTCCTGCTGAGGTAATTCTGTCCTGTGTTGTGTCCCTTTTGAAGTAAAAAGGGTATAGACAATACAAGCTACAGAGAAGTCTGGTGCCTGTCCTGCTCTGTTAGTGAGTCCTTCAGGTGTTCTGGCTCCATACTACAGGCACGGTTTAAAGGTGGGAGTGTGTGGTTTGCCTTGTACAAGATACTCTGAGAGGAAACCATAAGTAGCTGTAGCACACTCCTACCCTGCACTTCCCAAATGGATATCCATGATGGGGACAGAACATTTGCTTCACAAGATCCTGTCAGATGCTGCTGATTGCAGCAGGAGGTGTTCCCTTCGGTGAGGCTTCCCTGGCTAACAAAGAGGATGTGTGGAGGCAGAAACCTCCCACCTCCATGGGAACCAATTCTGTGATTCCCTTTGCCTACCACCGTGGTTTTTTCTATCCCAGTGAGGGAAGGAGATGAACTTTGCTAGTTCTGTTAATTAGATTAGGGGATGCAGTTCACTCTTTGAGTCAAAGTGGGCTGTGGGGTGACTCCTGCTGGGGTGTGACATGAAATGAATTTGTAGGTTCCCCACACAAGCCATGTCCATGAGAGACACATAGAGGTCTCTAGGGATACCCCCCAGAGATGGCAGGCAGGAAAAGCTATGGGTAAAGGGAAGACTTGGAATTACTATTTTTTTATACTTTCTACATCTGCAGCTCTCACAGTTGGGGCAGTCTAAGCACCTAGTGTGATCTCAGCTGCCCTGCCTGTCCACAGGGGTTTGGTCCCTGGTGGGGTAAGACTATTTGCAGACTATTATCACTTCAAATGTGAACACCTTTTCCCTTCTTTGGATACAGGATCTCGATAATCTGATTCAAGATATGGACAGTGATGAAAATAAGGTGAGTAAAAGCACAGTAGCAACAGCTAAACAGCCCAGTCTTGCTCTGCAGCTTGCAGGCTCTTTTTCACTGTCTTCTCTCTCATCCTCATGCAAATAAGATTTTTTGAAGGCTGCTTCCTAGATTGAAGAAATCACAGTGAATTCCCCAAGTGTTGAGGAATTCCTCATGGTGTTTGTGACTGTAAAGCTGAGATATACAGGTACCAATTGGGACTATTCCTATTAGTTCCTTGAGAGGTCTGGGCATTTGCTAGAGTGGGAGGAAAAGTATTTCAGAAAGGCACATTGGTGGGTTTGTTGGTTTTGTTATTCAACTTTTCACTTACGTGCATGTAAGTTTCTAGTAATGGCAGACAGCTAATGATGACCACTTCAGCTTATTGTTTGAGGATTATACTATTTCTGTGGTGATAGTTAAATGATAAAATTTCTCCATATTCTGATAGACTTTTTATCTTAGAGGAAATGCAGCCTAAACTAGTTTATTTCTTTGTTGGCTTTCGTTCCAGCCAGCCAAGCCACTGGAGAACTGTAGATGCCTGTTTATAGAAGTAGTTGTGACTCAGAATTTGGGGATTGTCGTAGATCCTGAGTGGCATAGCTGGGAATAAAATCTAAAGATTGGTGACAGTCTTCTGTCTGCTCTGAATAACAGACTCCCTGTTGTAGGCAGATTGAAAACCAGGCTTTTAATTCTGCTTTTCTGTAAGATCTATCAGTGAAAGACAAGAGTTGTTGTAGAGCCAGCAGTGAAAGAAAACGACAGATTCAGACTACTTGCTATGAGGATACTGTAATTAATGCACGAGATAGGACTCCTAATACTAATTTCAGGGTCATACAGTAAAGGAATATTTACAAGACACAAACTTAATAAAATATACCTGTTTGCCCATTTTTTTCACTGGGATCTGCTTCATGCCATGCTGCATTTGGTAATGTGCTGCTGCTACCTCGTACGGCAGGCTTCTGCACGGGTATTTCCCATGAGTCCTTGCTGAAGCATGTCCAGTTAGTTTGCTACAGCTTTCTGACCAAGCTCTGACTGCCTGTGTGCTTCAGATCCAGGCCTACATGATGTGCAACAAGCTGCGCTCCGCGTACCTGGTGTCGGTGCGGCAGGAGAAGGCGCGGGCCGTGCAGCTCGTCCAGCGCGTGCGGCAGCTGGCCGAGAGCAGCGGCGACGATGTCGTCAAGGCCATCTGTGCCCAGTGGCTCTCAGTGCACCAGCCCAAGGTGAGAAATCGGCTTCCCCAGGGCACCAGGATGTAATGTGTGACTGCCATTTGCCATCGTACTGAAGGAGAAGGCTTCAAGACAGCTCAAAGGTGTCTGGTTCAGCAGCCTCTAGGTAAAATGGAACTCTGTTGACTGATGTCGGTGGCAAATGGATGCTGCTAATGTGCCTCTGGTGAAGGGAAGTAAATTACAAGTGCCAGTTCTGTATTTTGACAAACAGTCACTACCTCAGGGTGCTTTTTGGCTCTCTTTTTGATGGGGGGAGAGGGGCAATTTCAAACTGAACAAGCAAGGATTTAGATATATGGAAGAGAGCACTTCTGTTTCTGGCTTTAGTTTTTGGGTTTCGTTGGTTTTTAATTTTTGGGGGGTCGGTATTTTTTGAAAAGCACTGGACTTAATGATATGTGTTTTATTTTTAATCCAGAAAACATATGTAGAGAGGACAGAAAAATTTTATCAACTCAGTGTAGCCTAGCGTATGAAATTTTTGTGATGTTTCCTGTAAAATTTTCAAGGTTGGAGAGTTCTTCTGATACAAAGACTAAAACTCAAGAGATTTTTTTAAAGCCTCTAGAGAAATCATTGCTACTTCTTTTTTATCTCCCCCACTAGTACAATATACCCAGGTTTTTTTAGTTTGTTTGAAAAGGTAGGAACTGATTCTTTATGGCAGATTTATACTTACCAGTCACACTGTGTGATGTGTGCCATAGGTGTGGCACTTGGGCTAGTGCCAGCAAGATGAAGTTCTAAAGGGAACATCCTGTAAGGGGAGTTCAAAGGGAAAACAAGCCTTTAAAATAGTTGAAAAATCATGTGCCTCTTTCTTTACTATGGTGATACCCAATAAATCATTGTGATGCAGCTTTATGACTGAATAGTTGACAGTAAACATCAGGTATCGCAAACAATAAGGATATAGCAAGCTGTGGCAAAATTAAACAGGTGGTCTGTATCCCTGTCACAGAGATGCATTTATTTATTTATTACCAGGATAATTTGTCCCTGTCAAGTATAATAGAACACCAAACTGGACATGCCCTGTATTGACAGGTTTTGCTCTGGAATTGTTAGGTTAATCAATTTTATGAAAAAAACCAGCAACCTTTGTGTAATGTCTTGTGTTCAGGGATGCTGAAAAAAAATAGCTGCTTCTCTGCAACTAGCAGTGGGACATGAGAAACTGGCAGAAATGTGTGAGACAGTAGCAGGACCTTCAAAAAAAGAAAAAAAAAGATGTTCCACAAGAGTTTCTGTTTGCTGTTTACATGTATTTCAGCACAAGAAGTAGGGAAACTAATTCACTTTCTCATTAAAAAGTTGTTTACATCAAAAAACCAACAGGTTTTCTGAAGTGTAATGTAATTGTAAATAGTTTTAGTACATAAAATAATTGAGACTGTCAAGTAAGAGTTTTGCACTATCCCCAAGCTCACTGTAATGAAAGAGCACACTTCTATAGTGTTGGAAAGGATTTGGTCCATCTTCTTCAGGGTTTCAAGAGCTGACACAAACGCCTCTCTTTGGAGGTGCTCTGCTTTGCTCACTAGAGCAGAAATGACCACATATAGCTTTCAGAATCCCCTGACCACAGATTTGCATTATCTCATTAATAAGCAGTACTAATGAAAGCTTTTGTTTCCTTGGCCAGACTGACCTAGCTTTCCATCAGCTTACAGCCATCAGGCTAATCCTAAAACGTGACACTACCTATGGCTTCAGTCATTTTAAAATCTCTGATTATGGGGAGGAGATTTTACTGTGTGTGGGTATCCAGATCTGCAGTGCTATAACAGGCTGTAACACTGCTTGTTCTGCTCGAGTTCCTTCAGCTGCAGAGAGCACTGAGAGTGGAGTTTGCCATGCAGACCTGTCAGTTCCATACCTGTCTTTCTTCCTGACCTCTCTGCACTGTACCTGATGCACTTTATATAGTGTTTGTTGTAATTTGATGTTCTTAACCTGGAATTGTAGGGATCTTTCTTGTACCAGCAGAACTGGAATTTTGACTCTGATTAATTACCTTGTGTCATAAATAGTGCAATTATCGAGGGACTTCGAATTTTTGAGCAGGAAAAAGGGATTGAATACTGCCAGTTCAAATAATTTCTGTTACTGACCAAGGTTTGTTTACAATTTAAAAAATAATAAAGTATTATGACTGTTAATGTATTTTCAGTTTATTTTTTATCTCAGCAGAGCTAGGGTCTCGTTCTAGATCTGCATTTTGTTTTTGGTTATGCTTAGTGGTGGAATTAGAAGGGGGATAAATGTTCTATCATGCCAAATTTATCTGTTACTGAGTATCCTCAATATTTAGATCAACTGGAATGTCACATCTTTAGAAGTCCCCCCAGCAGCTAGGTAGCCTAGGTAATTCAGCCTCATGCGTGTACTCAGTAATCCTCATTAGGGAGCTTTGCAAGTTAATCTAACTCTCCCTTACAAGCCTCTCTTTGAGACAGCTAAATGAGCTTTAGTTTCCTCATTTTTTTACAGATCAGCTGAGAGGTATAAATTACTTGCTCAAGGTCAAAGAGAGTGGATGTATGTCTATGGAAATGTTTATTTAACATGTCTTGTGTTAAATCTACGATCAGACTTCTTTGAGAGGAGTATTGACCTGCAAGGGCAAAGGTATTTCACACCAGAGACACTTTTCTGCTTTTTAAAAAAATTGTTTCTCTTGCTCCTGAAGCCACTTTCAAGATCAGAGAATGACACATAGAAAACAAGCAAAGGCCCCACTGGTAGGTAACATTCTACTGCTGTATTATAATTGTGGATTTAGTTTCATAATTGGGATGAAGCATAAAGATGGAAAGGAAAAAAAGGTAGAGTGACAGGGAGAAGAAACACAAAGGGACTTCTTAAAATGTTACTTGGACTGAATTCTCTACGTTAGTGAGGCACATGCAGATAACAGCAACACCAAGTAAAGTGATTCAGCATTTCTGAAAGAAAATACGGGGTCCTGTTGTAAAAGGAAAATGTCTTTATTTAGTATTGCTCAGAGGTAGCACAGGACTGATCTGCATAGACAGCATCCAGGCAGGCAGAATGAAAATTAGCATTTGTTTTCCAAAACTGGCAGTTGGTCACAGTGGCAGGCTCATATGTAAGTCCAAAAACTTCCAGGCTTTTTTTCAGAAGCAGAAGATAATCCTATGAGCTGTGGCACTTGGTTTCTGACTGCTTAACTCTTTCAGAAATAATCTCTGATTATGGATCACACTCCAGCAGTTTGCACTCATGTAGCACTGGAGTTCCAAGGGAGCAAAATCCCAGTGCTACATGGCCTGAGCCAGCTGCTTTGTGGAAGAGCAAGCTGTGTGGTCCTGCACAGGCAGGCTGGCAGCCAGTAACTGCTGGGCAGACAAATGCAAGGATTTCTGTGCAAGTCTTACCTTCCTGTTCTGGAGCCAGCTGGACCATAATACCAAGATAGTCCTGCCTCCTGCTTCAGCTATTTAGCTCTAGGGAGTATGGTGTCATTTAAAGCTAAAGTCTCAGCTGAAGTTGTTTCAGTATTTTTTTAACATGATTGAGATGTTCCTTATTCATTCTTCTCTATTTTCTAGGCTCTAAAATAATTTAAAGTGCAGCTGGGGAGGGGGGGTTACTGAGACAACTTTTACACTGTCTTTGTTCAATACTTCACAAGAGAGATGTTGATTTTTTTAATAACTTGCCTGTGCACAATTGCAGTCCTCCTGCAACTTTTAACCTCCTAGTCAACTGCACCAAAACCTGGGTTCTCAGAAGATTTGCCGACCCTCAGTTAACTTACTGCAATCAGTTTAGGGCCAAGATACCTCAGTGGCTAGGGTCTAGCTTCTTACAGAGCATGCAGAGAAAGTGATTCCACGTAAAAACTTTACCTAATGCTTGGCACAAAAAGGCCAGGATCTGTTTCTGTGTGTTTGAGAGTATCAGTATTGCATAACTTGCCAGAAAATCTAACATCCAAAAGTATTTTTGCTCTGCCAGTTCAAAGGGTAGGAACTGAAAGTAATCTCATAGGTTGTAAGTTTAGAGTCCTACCATTTTACTATTGCTGTTAGGAAAAAAACCAACCGAACTTTATTTAAAGTAATTCCTTGTTACTTCAGATTCTAAACCTAAGACTGCAACCTCCCTTTCTATTCTAAAGCCAGAGAATCATAGCCTTGAGCTGCTGTGTGAGGTAACAAGGAGGTTGCTTCCTGCATCAATGCTCTAATTCTCCAGCTAGGAAAAGGGACTGATTACTTACAAATCACAATCCTTAAGTGTAATATTCCAGAAATTCAAATTACATTGTGCCCACAGAGGCATCCTTAGGGCAGCTGAAGTATCAGCATTCTACTCTTGAGGTCTCTCAGCAGTGCTGTTCCCCAGAGAAGTGTTGCTGGGCCCAGCCAGGGACACTTGGTGCTGCTCAGTCCCACTGGATACCAAGGAGCTCACAGCTCACGCTCCAGAGTTTCTTTGCAGTCTCATCATCCCGACCACGTGGAGATACGTACGCTGGCTGGCAATCACTGTAAGAAAAACATTCTTTTTATTCTTTCAAGTCTACATTAGTACACTGAAATATCTGTGTTAAGATTAGAGAGTTGCTCTCTATCAGTTGAATTCAAGACCTGTTCAGGAATAGTGGGGGGCTGTCCAGAAAATGAGCAAAGGTTAGTGTTAAGCCACCATGAGGAAGTTTTCTGCTAGCTAGGGAAGAATCTCCCAATGACAAGAACTGGCAAGCAAGTCTAGCTCTATCTGTTGTCTCAGCTCTTAAAAGAAACCTCACCAGTTGTGCATTCTCATTAATACCACTAAAAAGGGATATAAACTCTAACCAAGCTTCTTCAGGTGCATAACATTACAAAAAAGTCACTTAAACAGCCCTTCATTCTAAACTATTTATCCCACTATATGCCCAAGAAGAACAACACTGTAATAACCATGTATGGTTACTCCCTTTTCCATTATCTTCTGAACTGTGGCTCCTTTCTTCTCAGCTCCTCCAATCAGAAAGCACTCAGTCTGGAAAAGAGGTCCTGTGTTCTCAACTGTAATGCTGCAATAACTTGGGGGTTTAAGAGCACAGAGGAAATGGCATCTTGTAAGCTTTCCATTCTGCTCAGCGTTTACAGAAGGAGTTGTTAATATTCCCGAAACAACTGGTAGACTCCCACCTGTCTCACTGTGGCATGCAAATTCTTTCCTTAATGTCTACACTTGTGTTTTATAGTCTATGACCTGGAAAGTGAAAAGAACTAGAGGCTAGTCCAGTGTAAATTGTGAATTGGTGTCGAAGCTTCTCATTTCCCACCATGTCCAAAACTCCCTTTTTTAAATGAGCTAAAATTCCACCAGTTTTCTGTACTTCAGGACATTAATGCTACATTTTATCCCGAGACAGACAGTCATCCAGGGAAGACTTAAGATGTCTATTTATATATTCAAGTCTGATTAAGATGGTACAAACTCCCAAATGAAGATCAGGCAATGTCATTACAGAGACTAATCTGGTCACAAATCACAAGAAGCAAGCTCTCCAACAGCATCCATGTGAGGGAAAAAAAGAAAAAAAAAGACAATGAATTTTCATATTCATTCCCAAAAAACAGAACTGTTACAGTGCTCTACATGCAATGGGAAGCTGGCAGATATGAATGGCAGCCTTCAAATCTAGAATGATGATGACTTGAAAGTGCTCTGGGCTGTGTTTTTGGTGATGGGAAAAGGAGAACAATGTAGGGTACTGAAGTAAGTCAAAGAAGTAAAAAAAATAGCAGGTTTTCTAATGGGAGCTAAACAAGATCATTTCCATGGCAGTGTGACAAGCAGCCCAGCAACAGCCCCTTCCCAACTGATGGGTCTATCACACTGGAGGATAAAGTTATTTGGTGACATGCTGGACCTGAAAATCTCACCTCCTGTCTCTGCAACTCTTACCAGCTCTCGCTGAGAGCACAGGCCCTTCTGCTCCAGTGGGGTAAAACTACAAAGGGAACTGAAATGCTCTTCCCAGGATTGACTGAAGTGACCTCATTAACTACACAGCTCTACTGAAAAGTGATTTTCACAAGTGTTAGGCAAGTCAGTATCAGAGCTCTGAGCATGTGACAGCCATTCCTGCACTTCAAGTACATTCATATTTCTAGCACTAAATGACATGCTCTTGTATGAAGTGTTGCACAGGTCAGGTGTTTCTTCTAACATGCTTGCAACGGACCTGGAAGAGGTAATGCTCTAGTATCTGTCACCCTCAGTCTTACCAGACAGCCTCTTACCTGGTCCCTTCTTAATGAAGAATTACAGTAAGTC